AGGGGGGAAGGGGGGGGGATTTATTATGGCTATGGAAACATTAGTGGGTGTGGGAGGCTTCGATTGAAGATCTGTACAGTTTATACGGGCATCATAGGAGGTACAACAATTTTGTAATGCCCTCATATTACATATTATAGGGAAAGAAAGTCAATCCTTCATGTAGCTCACGCTTTGCAAAGTCAAGCCAAGTAGAGCATGGAAAGAGATTGTAGATGGGCATGCGAATTCTGATCTGGCAGATACCAGCATGGAATCTGCAAAGCTGACTTTGGCCATTGATTCCTGGCCCATGTCATGGAGCATGATGGTGTAAGCCATTGGTATAATGACCGTCGCCCAGGGCATTTGATGGAGCACGTTGGACGTCCTTCACAGTCCACTAGGAAACATTTGATTTGAACAGTTGGGACCCAAAAATTCAAAGGGAATCGTGGCGTTTAATCTCAAACACTGGATTGGCCAACTCACACACTCAACATGAAGAAAGCAGATGCACCTTCCTCCACCGTAGCTTCGATCAAATCCAGAAGTGCGAGTGCATAGTGACTGCAGGCTGCAAGGAGGCTTGCCAGGCCAGGCCGTTTGCCAAACTGCATTGTTTGCTGCTTTGACATAGTCACGTGATGGGCGATACAAGAACTTTTGCATTCTGTGATTCTACGGGTCTTGGTACGTCCAGGAGCATTCAACGCATAAGGAAGAGTAGCAAACAGACTCTGTCCAGACTCACCATGTGCAGGTCGCAGGGAGGCACCGTCCGACTGAAGGTGGCAAGCCCCAGGTGCTTGCTGGACAGGCTGCAGACTCCAGGAAGTAGAGGTTCTCTAAGTTAAGTGCCGCGGAGCGCGAGAGTGCCACCGCAACGAGTAGCTTTGGTAAAGACCCACGAGGAACTAGATCCAATCATGTTTGCGCCGCCCGCAGCGTTTAACACGACACGTGAGCCACCTTTGAAAACTAGATCTCCTCTGAAGGTGCACATAATTGCATCGGTCTGTAAGGCGCAGCCACTCAAAGGATGATAGCTCGTGTCAAGCCCGATGCATTTCAACATGTAACATGTAAGCAAGGACTCTGAACCAACAACGGCAGCTGTAGGCTGTTAGTAACTACCAGCGGAGCGACCATACAAGGCGTAGCATTGCCTCTCATAGCAATGCAAAGCCTGTCAATCCTCCATGCAGACCAGAACGGCTTCAGGCCGAAACACGCCATGGCTTTGATTTCAAAGCTGATGCTTTGTGCAGAAGATCCAAACAATCAATTGAGCATGCACCTTCGTTGAAGAGTTTCTGTAGGTTTCTGTAGCATGGCTCATGAAAGGCCGGCCTCCGCAGCCTTCGGCCCCGAGTCTGCTGCCTTGGCTCGCCTCAAGGTACTTTGGCTGCCAATAAAGCTCAATCAAGAAGCAATGATGCCATTTAGGCCGCTTGAAAAAGAGCAGAGTAATCACAATACAAGCTCCTTCCGGCTTTTGTTTGGAGGCCGTGCATGAGCTGGATCAGAAGTCCATCTTGAGTTCCATGGAGGCAGGCAGCTGGCGATTGCTGCATGACTTCTTTGCAGCGTTTGCGGTGCGCAGGCGAATGCGGTGAGGCGCAAGGAGCAGGCCCAGACTTTCTGATGCGAGAATTGCACACCCGAGTGACCGCACCTCCAAGAGCTATGCAGTCATGCTGAGTCATGCTTCCAAATATTCATAGGCACGGGAGATGGCTGATTCTGTGCCGACATGTATTCTGAACTAATTCAGACACGTCCTACTTGCCTGCTTTTCAGTGGGTCAATTTCTTGGGCCACGGGCTCTGGGTGTAGGCTTAACGGCTCAGTGTGAAGGCTTAGGGTTTAGGCATGAGTGTCCCCACGCTCTCCAAACACTTCCCTCGTGTCCTCTAGAACGCTACAGTCATGATGGGTTTGTTGCCAGGGGAATCTGGCCATGGAGAATGCCGAGTACCATCATGCTGTGAAGGAGTACAGCTATGCTACGACCTCAGAGCTCCTGGGCAAGGCCTTGCAAGTCTACATAAATATAGATATATATATATATAGATTCGATGCTTCGAGAAGTGTTCCTCCTACTTGTCTCCATGAGGCCCTCAGTCATGCCCAGGACATGATGGACTTCCTGGAGGCAAAGTCTTTGCTGAATACCTTGAATCCTCTGGACTCTGAACTGCGTAATGTTAGCTCTGCTTTCTTGAGACCTTTTCATTTGGGCAAGGCTCTTTGGGAACATAACCTGGTAAAGCCCACTTCTAAGCAGCCGCAGGTGGAAAAAACGCAGCCGCTGAACGGATACCAGCTGAGAGCATTAGCCAAGGGAGTGTCAGGCTGCCTTGTTTCATGGTCGCTGAACCCCTTGCAGTTTGGACCTGCTAGTTTTTGATCAATGTTTTCGTCCTGCTTCCTGCCAATCATAAATAGGGATTGTAACTTAGCAGCTGAAGCCTGGACGCTGCTTGAAGCTGAATGTTTTTTCAACATTTTCAACCACCCTCAGCAGAAGAAGTTCGAGGGCCAAAGATACGTTGGCCACTTTTTTGGGTGTTCGTGCCGCTTGAAAGACTGAAGATTCCCTGTAACATCACATTTCCACACGCGAATGGGTTTGTGCTTGGACGATCCATTTTTGGATGTTGCTTGCGTGCTGCATCTCTGAATTGGTAGTTCTTGTCATCGGCGTTGACAGCGCAGCTGCTGCGCCAAACCCGATGGCAGTAACGTTGGACAGCTCAAACAGGAAAAGCCGCAACATCCCAAATTGCCAGAAGCGCAGTGCTCATGGTTGCAAGGTCACCGAAAACAGGGCTTACATAGGTTCTAGAATCATTTCGTACCAGAATGTGGATGCAAAGATCAATTGTCCAGCAGTTGTTGCTCAGCATCTGATTTATGAGACAAGCATGCCCCGGGCTCGATCTTTCGTGAAGGAAATCTGATCAATCATTGGATACAGCGGATTGACGACTTGGCGTGTTTGCGCCGAAGGGAGGCTCGACTGCGAACAGTGAGCAGCGCATGGCACGGGCAGAAACCGGACAATGTGATTGTCACTGCCACGGGCCAAAGCGGCACAAAGAAACATCATGTTGACGTTTTGCTTGTGATGCTGCAGCCCCGTGCAGCTCCAGAGGGCTAGCCAAGCAGGTGTGTTGTTATGTACATCATACTGGCATTATACACATCTGGCTATTGATTGCACCATTTCTGAGTTGGAAGGTCAAGGTTGTCAGCATCTCTGGTGAAACCACTGCTAGAATTTCGCACTAACATGGGCTGTTCTGATGTGGTGGCTCAAGGGGGCCCCCTTGTACAGCCAAACACCCTGCGGGTTGATGTAGAAAAGAGTGTGTGCTATTGCGTGATTCTTCTGTTTTCAGCTACATTGGTAGCGGAGCAGTGTCCGATCAGGACCAGTCTCCTGAGCCTTGTGAGGCTCTGCCTGGTTTCCCGAAGAGGAATTCCCGGGCACAGATTTTTCCAGGACTTGAGAGTCCGGGAAGGGGGCCACTGAGGTGGACCGAGGAACCTGTAGAGGTTCCCTGCCAGACTCCTGAAGGGAGAACTGGTCAAGATGATGCGTGGTCAAGCGGCCCTGGCAGGTGGCGAGGACAAACATTTTGTCCCGATTTGGGACGGCAAGCCGGAGACCTTCAGCCACTTTGTTACAGAAATTCGATGGACTTTGAATAGTACGAAGAAGACGGAACGCCCCTTACTGGCGTCCAAGATTATCCGGAAGGGCCTGCAATCGGAGCACTCCACTTTGGTTTCGCTGCTCTACAAGCTTGACCCCGATGACTTCAGGAGTGAAGATGGAGTCACCAAATTGGTGAAGTTCTTGGAGAAGAGCCCTCTCAATCGACAACCGCTGCCAGATGCGGGGAATAAAATTGGTGGCTATTATCGCCGTCTGAAGAGACGCCACCAAGAGCCTATCCCGGCTTTCCTGGTCCGCGAAGACAGGACCCACGATGAGATGCTTAAGGCATTGCAAAGGTTGTTGAGGGACAGGGAGCTGTCCTTTGATGGATACGAAACAAGCCTTTCTGAGTTGAAAACCTTTTGCGGTATCAACCCCGAAGACTCGGTCTACTATGGACCTCCCGAAGGGGATGACGATGAAGATGAGGAGGAGGAAGAAGAAGAAGATGAAGAAGACGAAGGGGAACAGAGGACCCCTACCCCAAGGTCCAAAGGCTCTAGGCGATCCTCAAAGGGCAGCGGTCGAACTTCAAGCACAAAGAAGGAAGAAAAGATTAGAGAGAAGAAAATCAAGGGCAAGGACCTCTTGGAGCGCTTAATGGAAAAGGGTCTTATGCCCCTGGCGGCATTAGACGTGATACGGGGATGGATGATTCTGGAAATGTCCACATCCACCGATGATGAACGAAGGGTCATCAAGGCCGCGACCCAGAATCGACTGGGCTACCAGGAGGTCAAGCAAGCCCTCCTGTCCATGTTTGAGGACAGGGGTAAGGGCAACCCCTTTGGTGGCAAGGGCCTCTATGCTCAGGAGATGTGGGATTATGATGAGCCCATGAGCGCTTATCACCAGGAGGACTGGACCTGGTGGGAAGACGAAGCCTGGAACTATTATGGCCAAGAAGGCGAATGGCAATGGCAGGACGACGAAGAAGAAGAAGATGGAAATCCTGAAGAGGATGGACCATCAGACGATGTGTTCGTCAAACTGCAGGAGGAGCAGAACGAATGGGAGGAACAACGGAAGGAGATTGAGGCCATGCTGGCTGACAACGACAGGAACCTGACAGAGGCCAGAAAGGCGGTGGCCCAAGCGGCCAAAGATCGTGGATGGGGAGGAACTGTGCAGCAGCGTGCGCCACGTTCGACGTCCACGTACCCTTACAAGGGTAAAGGAAAGGGCAAGCCGAAGGGCAAGGCCTATTTGGCGGAGAGTGCAAACATGGCTAAAGGATGGTCTGGAAAAGGGCCAAAGGGCAAAGGAAAAGGACTGGGATGGCAGTCCAAAGGCAAAATCAAGAAAGCTGGACCACCGTGGGCTACCAGCTACCATGTCTCCATGGACTTCAGCGATGATGACTACGAGGAAGAGATCTTGGCTGCGGAGACCAAGGCTCAGAGTAGTCAGCCGCAGTTAGGCCCTGAAGAGAGCCTGGTAGATACTGGTGCCACTGCAACGGCAGGTGGACGTGACGCTGTACAGAAACTTTGTGCTGCCATAGTGGCGGCCCGACCCGGAACCAAGATTGACATCAATGAAGCTGCGAGACCGTATTTCCGGTATGGTTCTGGGAAGTGGGGTCGAGCACTTTTCCGCGTCACTCTAACCTGGAAGGATGTTAAGATGTCCATGTATGCACTTCCGAGTGAAGGAGTTCCTGTACTTGTTGGGATGAGAGAACTAGCCAGCTTACAGGCATACCTAGGGTGCGCAAATGGTAGGTGCCTAATCAATGGCCGCAGGGTGGAGCTTCGTAAGACCACAAAAGGCCACCTGGTGATGAATCTCCTTCAGCACGCGTTTGTCGAGGACCCTGCAGTCAAGGCTCCTGTAGAGGAAACTCCAGCAACCCAAGCTACTACGCAGTCAACATTTACTACAACCAAAAGGATAGTGAACAAGCCTGACAAGAAAGTTGGCTGGAAGTGGGTCCCTAAAGAGGCACCCAAGCTTAGAAAACAGGTAGGCTTTGTTCAGAACCCGACCTACTACAAGTACCACTACATGCTTGAGATGGTAGACCTTGAAGAAGGTGATGTGGAGTTCCTGCAGTGCATTGCAAGTGAAGCAGTGGGAGAACAAGCCAAACACTTGCAAGTCAATGATGATGATATGGAATTTCTGCTGCCGGGCTCGAGCGGGAACGCCTTTGACTCGACCTCGAAGGAGGGAAGAGCATGGCGAGCCAATCGAGTCTCAGCGAGGAGATTCGCGCAGAAATTCGGAGTGCGGTCAAAGAGGCCGTGAAAGGTACAGTCAAGGAGGTAGTGAAAGAAGCCGTGGAGGAGGCGTCAGCCTCCACAGCTGGGGCGGGCCCAGGCGCGAGCAAAGGAAGGAAGAAGAAGGGCCCAGCCACGGAATTCGACTCCACGAGGCGCCAAGGCGCCGATCCCAGAGACTCCAGGAGCCGAGACGACACGTGGCCATGTCTCGGACTCCACGTGGGGAAGGGCCACGGGAACCGGCACGGTCGGTGGGAAGAGTGCGAGAGGTGCGGACTTTGCCTCAGATAAATTACGGCCATGGACACTCCGGCAACGTCAGTGATGTGCGAGCTACCCCAGAACATCACGGAGGCGCTCCACCGGCTCAGGTCTCAGGGAGAGACTCCGGCCACAGTGGACAGCGACAAGGTGAAGGCAATGGTCAAGATCGTGGCCCGAGAGAAGAAGATAGTGGCCGGACAGTCAAAGGCGAAGGCCAAGAATCTGCCCGCCCGAAGCCAGGAGGCGGAGGCAGCAACCCCTGTCCGAAGCAGGACGCCCATCAGAGATGGGGTCGGATCAGGGGTACCAGGTGGTCAGCAGCCCGGAACGGGCTCCCAAGAAGCGGAGGCCGCTGACGCGGCCAATGAGGCAACAAGCCCGGCAGATGAGTATACTGAAGATGAAGGTGAAGAGGAGAGCGATGCCGGGCCAGCAGCGATCTGAGGGAGGGACAAGTGGAAGAAATGGAGGAGGAAGTATTAGAGGACGATGCGATGGCTTTGGAGGAAGCCGGTCCTTGGGAAGAAGAATTGGTGGAGGATATGGATGCTGATCTGCAATACCAGTTGCAGCAATCCGCCAAGGAATTCGATGCCGCTTCCATTTTGGGAGCCCTGCATCCCATGGAGATATGGGAGATTTGTGGAGGTGAGGATACCAATTTGGCTCCTCATTGCGAAAAGCGGGGCATGAAGGTGACCCGGATATCCTGGAAGGAGGGATTTGACCTCATGAAGGAGGAAGATGTGGCCAAAGCGGTCCGACAAGTCAAGACGTCCCCTCCATGGAAGATGTGGTGCTCCCTCACAAGCACCCTCACTCCGGGGCCTTCCATGCATGAATGGAAGAAGGAACAGGAGCTCAGGAAGAAGAAGAAGAACCGAGCTCGCAAGCAGCTGGTTGGCGTGCTGAAAATCCTGGAGCAGACGATGAAAGAGTGGGGTGGAAGGTGTGCCTTCTACCTTGAATGGCCCAAGGAAGCCAGGGACTGTTGGGACCTGAGAGAGGTGAGTGCCATCAGGAATGTTCTTCGTGAATACGGACACAAGGTGTTCTGGACAGAGGTGGACGGTTGTGTCCAAGGGCTTCGAAACGTGAGTGGACACCGCCTGAAGAAGACCTGGCTCATCATGTCTAATGATGAGGAGTTCCATCAGCGGTGCCATAAACCATGGCCAGGTACTGGTCTGAAGAGACCCAGGCGGTGATGCACTCACCCAGGTACCCACCTGGAATGATGGGCGATGTGAGTGGGGTCTGGAAGAGCCAGCTCCTGACTCGCACCGAGTCCTCACTCTTTCAGGATGTCTACGCCGCATCACTGGAGCTGAATACCAGTGAGGAAGTTCAGGAGCAAATAGACAAAGGAATCGAGGTTCGAAAGGAACAGCTGGAACAGGCACGTCGCCTGCTGATGAGGCTCCACAAGGCAGCCGGCCATCCGACAAACAGGGCCCTGGCGAAGATCTGTAGAGATCGAGGGATGCCCCGATGGGTGATCAACGAGGCGTTGAATCTCAGCTGTCAAGCCTGCTTGGACACCAAGCGGGGCGAACAGCTGGTGACCCCTGTGTCGGTTGGTACAAAGCCACAGCCCTGGCAATTCTTGGGAATGGATGTGCTTGAGCTCATGTTCCCAAAGCAAAAGCAAAAGGCCAGGTACCTCCTGATGATCGACATGACAATGAAGTTTGCGGCGGTGGAAGTCCTATGGCAAGGACCCGTGCAAGAATCTGGAACTGACCCAGGTTCAAGGATCATGGAGGTGTTCTCCGGGACATGGCTACAACACCGACCAAGGCCAGAATGGGCCCTCTGCGATCCACAAACCAGCATTGCGTTTGGAGACTTCAATGAATTCCTTCACTCCATAGGAATTGGAATGACTGTCACAGCCGGTGAGGCCCACTGGCAGTTAGGAGGAGTTGAGGTGTCGGTCCGGACCATCAAGAAGGTCATGAAGCGTCTTCGGAACGAAAAGGAGGATATGAACCCAAAAATGGTTGGGTACTTGGCAGCCATGGCCAACAACCACACCATTAAGACAAAGGGTTCACAGCGATCCAGTGGGCATACGGAACAGATCCAAATGCCTATGGAAAGGAAGCTGACCCATTAGAGATCAACAAGGCACAGATGGACCGACCTACAGAGTTTTGGGAGCTCCAACGAATGCGGGAAAAAGCAGAGGAGATGTGCAGACAGGAACAAGCCAGGGAGACCTGGACACGTTTGCACAACGCTGCACCGCGTCCTATCCAGGACTATCAGGTCGGTGACTGGGTATGCGTCTGGAGAGCTTCCACCTTAAAGGCCAGGAAAGGACGTGTCAATCCAGAGCCCCGGTTCATAGGACCTGGTCGGGCGGCACTTCTGGAGCCTCCAGTGCTACCTGAAGGAAGAGCCGCCGTGATATGGGTGCTCATGGGTGCAACCCTGTGGCGCTGTGCACCTGAGCAACTCCGCCTGGCAAGGTGATCTCCGAGTTGCTGGTCAATGGCGAGACAGCAGCCAGGCCAGTTGGAGACATCATGAGGGAGATGAAGAAATGGGTGGATGTTTCCAACGAGTCCGGTTGGGATCCATCAGAAGTCGATCTTCCTCCTGAACCCCTTGCCGGCGGGTCCAAGGACTATGAAATGGGCCTTGGGCGGGCCCAGAGGCCAGAAGACTGGCAGCGCGGCCTGGAGACAGCGGCTGACCAGTGGCAGCAGCCTCGAGGCTGTCATCTAAAGACCGTAGGCAAGGCCGCTCAGAGAGAAGCCGGTCAACGGAACGAAAGGCAACCCTGGGAGACCAGCTGCTCAGGGTGAACACCTTGAAGACCATCACAGAGTCGATCAACAGGCGACTTCCGGATACCTGGGAGATTGACGATGAGGCCAAGATGATTGTGAGGAAACATCTGGAATGGAGGGAGACCCTCTATGTACCAGCACTTGACGGTATCCTGCCAGTCCGGAGGGAGCAGCTGACAGGGAAGCGTGTCACACTCTGGAAGGACCAGCAGGGCTATAAAGGAAGTTTCATCGATGACTTCCTAAAAAGCCGCGACCCAGAGAGACACTTTGGCGAGCCCTGGAAAGGGGAGACCAAGCTGGAGTTCACACCTGCAAAGGAGAGTGTGAAACGAAAGGAGGCTGAAGAGCCACCTGAGCAGGTGGTTAAGAAAGAGAAGAAGAAGAGGGAGACCTCACAAGGCCCGAAGGCCAAACGGGAACAAACGGCCCAAGCAGCGCCTTCCCCAGAACCAGCTCATGAACCGTCAGCGCCTTCGACTGCGCCACCTGTGAAGCCTCCTTCGGATACCCAGATGTCGGTGACAGAGCACTTCAATATGGCCGCAGCTGACACTGACGAAGAAGAGGAGGTATCGAAGCAACCTCAGATGACTGAGGAGGTGTACTTGGCGGTGAAGGCCAAGATTGAGGAGCTGGAGAACAAGAAACAGGCGAAGGAGGAGATTGAGAAGCTAAAAAGGGCCATTGACCGGGAGGCAAAGGAAGAAAAGAAGCTGGTTGAGAAAGTCATCCAAGCGTGTGAGGACGGTGAAGAGGCCATGGTGGTGTCCTTTGAAGTAGACAACCTGGAAGCCTTTATCTCCCAAGGGCCTATGTACACAAAGGCCCAGCAAGGAGATAAACTTCAGGAAGCTGAACAGGGACGACCGCAAGCGGGTCGAGGAAGCCATGGCCAGGAGGTGTCAGAAGTGACAAGAAGCCAGGCCCTGAGGGCATGCCGTGAGGTGCTGGATGAGCAGACGCTCAAGGAGCGGGTTATTCCTATGAGATGGCTCCTGACATGGAAGCCGGTCAATGAGGATCCCCCTGATCCTTCAGTGAAGCATGAGGTGCTTCGACCGGATGGAAAATCCAAAGCAAAAGCTCGGATCATTCTCATAGGATACAAGCATCCAGACCTGGTCCGGGCAGAGGGAGCTGAACACCTCCTCACCGACTATGAGCCGCCTAGGGCGCAACATGTTGCTCCAGTCAGCAGCTCTGGATGGCCACACCATAGAGTGTGGAGATGCCAAGAGTGCCTTCCTACAGGCTGATGAAGGTATTGGCACCAACAAGCTGTATACCTATGGCGTGCCAGAAGTGGCAAGAGCCCGGGTTTGAGCCCAGGAACCGCCATGGAGGTGGTAGGTGCAGTATATGGCCACGGATCTTCTGGAAGGACACCGATACAAAGAATACCAACCTCGGTGGGGAAAGGCATGGGGTTGACAAAGGCATATGGGTATTTCGCGACAAAGAGGACCAGGTTTGTGGCCGTGTCGGAACCCATGTTGATGATTTCCTCATAGCAGGAAACATGGCGGACCCATGCTGGTTGGAAATCCGAGAGGGTATAAAGAAGATGTATAACTGGAGCCCATGGCGCACCGGCAGCTTCACATTTGCTGGCTTGGAGATCCAGCAGCTGAAGGACTACTCCATCAGGGTGACCCAGGAAAACTTCTGCAATGCGCTTCGACCCGTGGAGATCGAAAATGAGAAGAGCCGGTCGACAGAGTCTCCACTGACTCCGAAAGAGATCAGCCAATGCCGTGGCTTGATCATGAAAGCGCAGTGGAGGGCAGTACAGACAGCCTTCCAGTATTGCGCAAGGGTCGGAATAGCAGCGTCAGCCCTGGCCAACAACCCGACGGTCAGCAATCTCAAGGACGCCAATTCCCTCATGAAGGAGCTTCGCAAGACGGCCAAAGAAGAGATGTACTTCTACAATTTCAACCATGGCCGAGACAAGAAGCTGGAATGGCACGAGCTGGTCGCAGTGCACTTTGGAGATGCAGGCAACAATAGAGAAGGGATGGGTCCGCGACAGGCGGTTACATCACCTGCTTTTCAGAGCCTGGAGTCCTGAGTGGGAGCGACGCCAAGATGAGCGTCATGGATTGGCGAAGCTGGAAGCTGGACCGCACCGCCAAAGGTACAAACGGTACCGAGACCCAAGGGGTCTATGAGGCCGAAGACCGGGGCTGGCGATGCAGGTTGTTTTGGGCCCTGATGCATGGCGAAAAGCTCAAGCGGGCAAACGCCCATGAGCTGGCCAGCAGAATGGAAAGCCTTCTGGTCACAGACAGCAGAGGTGTCTACGATGCCATCAGCATGTCAGAGTCGGCGCTGCTGGGAATGAATAACAGCAGAACCGGCGTGGATGTGACGATCATCCAGGAGGCCCTCCGAAGGGATGGCAGATGCTACCTCACGTGGGTGCCGTCAGATATGAATCTTGCTGATTCATTGACAAAGGCTACCCCAGATGCCTACAAGGTAGCTGCAACATTCCTTGAGAGGAAGCGCTGGGCAATCCGCTTCAACGAGGAGTTTGTTTCAGCCCGCAAGCAACAAAGGCTGCGAAGGCAGCAGCAGCATCTTGAGGATGCTTCAAGGGCACCCTTGACGCCCGAATGGAGCTCACTCTTTGAGGAGGAGCTCAGTTTCCCTGAAAGGGATTGATCAACCCATGTTTAGTCGAAAAGATGTTTTGGCGGTGAAACCACTGCTAGAATTTCGCACTAACATGGGCTGTTCTGATGTGGTGGCTCAAGGGGGCCCCCTTGTACAGCCAAACACCCTGCGGGTTGATGTAGAAAAGAGTGTGTGCTATTGCGTGATTCTTCTGTTTTCAGCTACATCTGGAATGGCACTCTAAGGCGGTGTCCTTGCTTTGGCTGGTTCAGGATAGTGCCTGACAGCAGCTGTCGCGTTTTCTTTTTTGAATGCTGTGAAGTCTTCCTGCACACAGAGTCTCATGAGACGTCTTTGTGTGGCTGCGGACAGTATGCTCCTCTAATCCTTAAGGGCCTTCTCTTTAATTGCTTGTTGCTGTAGCTGTCAGGGACCTGCTGATTCTTTGGAAAGCAAGCCTTGGACCGAAAGCCGGAAGCTCGTTGTGTCAAAGGCATCGCGGTTGCTGCAGGGATAAAACCAAGAGGCAGCAGTCAAGTCAAAGGAAAGGAGAACGATAAACAAAGTCCATCGGTTCCGAGCTGCATTCAGAGAGGTGCAGCCCCAGCAAGCGCAGCAGGAATCACGCTTTAAATGCTGCCATTTGACACCCTTTTGCGTCATTTGCCGCGCGTCGCGCCAGGCCACTGCCTGGCCGCGGGCCGGTGGCTTTGCAGCCCTTTCGAGCAGTGGTGCTTGCCAGCCGGGCAGCGAGACCCAGCAGATATACGCGAAGGTTTTATCACGGATATCAACCCCACGTGAGGCCTTGGCTTTCCTGCGCCTGCATGCTTACAACCGCGCCGCAGAGGCGTCCCTTCGATTGCCTTTTCAGAGCAAGCATCGTGCCATGCACTGCAAAGTCGGTCACAGGATGCTGAGCTCGCGTGCCAGCTGGAGCCGAGATACTTGAAGGCCAAGCTGCGTGCCATTGTAGACTTTTGTAGACACAAGGATGGGCTAGGTATCATTGTAGGCGTGGATCCGACGGGCCGCTGCCCTCGCTGCTGCCAACCTTCGAGAGCAAGCTGTCCAGGTTTTGGATGAGGTGCGCAGAGAGTTGTGGTCTGAAGCCTTGTGCGAAGAAGCATGCAGGTGGGCAATGCACTACTGCTTGAGCGTGTTGCAGGCCCTACGGACTGCCTGTCCAACAGACTGCTTGCGTGAGCAGGCTGAGATTGGGCAGGGTAAGGAATTAACACTGAGAGGTGTCATGGTGGTCATGACTTCGTCAGGTGTGCAAACTGATTGTGAACCTGCGGAGCCTGGTCAACGTCGAGGTTAAGGCACCAGAAAAGGAGCTGCTGAGCTACCACCAGCTGAGAACATAATAGCGCGATTGACGGCATGCTACAGGACTTGCCAGTAATCTTCAGGGATGCTGACACAGCTCAGCACAAGAAATGGCGAAAGGCCGGGCGACGCAACAAGTATGTTCCAACCGAGAATAAGAAGGCAGAGATGTGCTTCAGCACAGGCATCTACACAGCCGCGAGATGTCGGGAGGCCGGAAGCTTCAGAAACTGGTCGCAGCAACGTTTTCGTGTGTAGATGCACAGCATGTATCAGCATCTAACATGCAAGATAGGCTGGGCATTTGTTGTGGGATTCACAGTTGCAGTGTTCAGAGCATCAAGGCATCAAGCTGCTTGTCTGAATTGAAGGCCCATTGCTGGCGCTCCTGCAGCAGCTTGAGCCTCGGACCGTCGCTCAAGTGCTTCTCTGCCTGCTGTAGCAAGCGCCTCTAAGGTTCTTTGCATGGTTTTGCCGGATCTAGCACCAGACTGGCATGCGTGCGATGTGTGCCAGGTCTCGCGCCCAAGCTCCCTGAAGGCCGCCAGACATACGATGTGAGACGGGGTGTCTAGCAGCACGGCGCGGTCATAAGTCGCATAAGCATGCGAAACTTCTCGGATTGCCGTACTGACTGGCTGCTTTGAATGTGGTCGCTCGTTCATACAACTTTGCACTTCAGAGCAGCGTTGAAAAAGACGCAAAGAACGAAGAAGGAAAGAAAAAGAGGAAGAGGGAGAAGAAGGAGAAGAAGAAGAAACAGAAGCAAGAAGAAGACGACGACTTGTTCTGGAAGCCTGACTGGTTTGACACATGTGTACCGCAAGCCAGGAGGATTGGAACCCTGCGCCAACAGGCGCCACATGCGATTGCATTGGAGTTTCTGGGCAGTTGTGAGAGTCACAGCATCACAGCAGAACGCACAAATGCTGCACACGGCAGGTAAATGGTCGCAATCTGAAGGCGAATTGTGGTTGATACTGCCTTTGCCAAGGAAGCCAAAGGCTTGCATGCATCAGATGTGTGTTAGGGGAATGCTTTTGATAGGGCTTGCATGGAGGTGTCAGAAGTGAGCGTCCAGATTCGGCCTGCAGCTGAGCCTCGTACTTGTCCAGCTCACTGACATTACACTGCCCGCAAAAGATTAGTGAGTTCTAGGAAGCCAAAGTTCACAGAATGAGGGCACAGGTCCGTCTGCCACTCTTGATCCTAGCTTCCAGCCATTGAGAAGCTGGCCAAAGAGCCTTGGTCTTGGCGTAGGGGCACAAGATGCTGCCAGCCATGGATGCGAAAGGGGTGCTTGTGCTCAGTATGCTGCTGGTACAGGCTTTCGCTGCGATGCTAGTTGCTACTCGATTGCTCTGCCGTCTTCAGCACGAACCTTGGCGCTGGAGAAACAGATCGGTCTGGAGGTCTCTGGCTACGCGGTGTCTTGAAACCACTCATAGTGTGTGGCAGCTTGGCCACACTGACAAAGTTGCAAGCAGCCTGGATGAACTTCGCTGCCGAATGCTTATGCGCCTGACAATGCTGCTGATGGCAGCCTGTCTTGGCCGCTTTCTCGTTTGTGAGCTGCACATAGCTTTTGGTCCAACCTGGGGCCCTTCACCCTTAGAGCCTGCTCTGGACCTTGCTGCTGTGTTGGCATGTTTGCTTTGCCTTGTGATGAACGTCTTTAGACACTGCGCAGTCACCCCTCGCTCACTTGATGCGTGGGTTACTTGACAGGCAGCAAGCAAGCTTCAGCCTGCCTTCTTTTTCCAGCTTTCGAAGTAGGATTTGTGCACGTTTGCTTGAGGCTTTTGGTGCTTTGACCTGTCGACCTCAGGTGATGATGTTGCACTTGATCTGCATCACTCCGTTCATTGCGGATCCATCCATCGACCTGACCCTGGTCTTAGCTGTTACTGTGCCTATTCAACTATGTTGCTCCCTGCTGGTCAAGAGGGCGTGGTGCGTGATCATGGTGCATGCTACGCTTCTCAGCGCCGTCCTGGCGCACGTCCTGATGCAAGGCTCTCACCAGGCAGGCCTGGGAGTAGCCTCGCAGCTGCTTTTTCTGCTTGTGGTCACGTTCTCCGGACGCTGGCTAATTCATGAGAATGCGCGACTCTACCTGGACTTGCAGACAACATCTCATCACTTGGAAGCTGCCACCTCTGTCCTTGCCGGGTGCTGTGATGCAGTAGTGTGGGCTGATGAGAAGCTGAAGATGGTCCAAGATTCTCGACAGCTGGCTGCGCTTCTCGACAAGCAAGGGACTTTTGGAAGCCTGGCCAACACCAACCTGCTTAGTCTTTTTTGCCAGCAAGACCGTACTCGAGTGCAGCAGCACCTCGCTAGCAGCAACGTTGGCCACGCCTTGGCCGTTCATGGCTGCCTTGTGGATAGCGATTCTCGATTGGTGCAAGTGGAGTTGTTGCACGCGCAGATTCAAGGCAAGGACAGCCAACACCTGATCGGCATCCGTGAGTGCAGCCTTGAAGGCTGCAGAAGAGACGCTGTGGTTGGGCAGACTAGCCACATGATGCAGCCAGTGCATGCGATGCATGACTGCCCGGCCACGCAGACAGCTCAACTGGATGTAAGTTCAGAATGCATAGAGGAGGCTGGGAGAATTTGTCTCACACCTTGTCATGACTGCCAACCTTTGTAGCATTCTCATCAATGATTGTTCCTCTTACGCTGCAGTAAACACCCTGACATGCATGGCCTGCAGCCGCTGTTCGAAGCAATGCCTTTGTTTGATGGGCTGGTGTGCTTGGTTCTTGGTGCTTTCTCTTGACATGTTCTTCGATCGCTAGCTTCAGCTTCCCCCAGCTCTCTTTCCCTCTCTCTCCTTGTGTCGGTCTCTGTTTCTGTCGCATTAGACACAAGCTTTCCCAGAACGGCGCCTTCATCCTCTTCGGGGCAGACACTCTGGAGAGCTTCTCCTCAATTCTGGTGAAGCTGCTTCGTGTGGATGCCCAACACGTCTGGTTTTGTTTTGGCACTTAATGTTGTGCCAAGGATCCTGCACGCCAGCGAGGACTTCAAGGAGTTCTGCGCAAGCATCGAAAACATTCCAGACTTCCAGAACATGAGTATCCACGATTTGTCACAAGAGAAAGGCAGGGGAACACGGCTTGGCGAATTGCTAAGCATATCAGAAATCAAGCATGCCTGCACATGTCTGATTCAACTATGGCCCGGGAGGGTAAATGTTGTTGAGCTCATCAGTTGTTTAGCCCAGCCAAGCCAGGCGCCCTGCACTTCAGCTTCGTGCGTGCTAAGTTGCAAAGCTTTTGAAGAAGTTGTATATGCTTTGGAAGGTCCGGCCTCAGCCCTGGTTTGCTGGCTCCAGAAATGCGCAACATCCTGGACGCAAGGGATGCGCGTAAGACAGCAGGCTGACATGACCATATTTGGCCGCCGGATGCAAAGCTCAGTGCCTCGATATGAAGTACGTGTCAACGTGAAAAACAGTTTGCAAATCCTTTGATCAAATGGCGCTCTGCACATCATGATGACAGCCGGCATGAACAGGTTACGTTTGATTATGACTGCTTCTTGGACGAAGTGGTGGGGACTTTGCGCATCACACCACGAGCAGAAGCTAACAAGGCAGCGACTCCTTGGGGCTAGTCAGAGGAGTTGTTCATAGCTGCCACTGTTTCTTGTCATTGTCGGCTTGTTCAACACTTTCATTTTCAGAGCCTGCAGGGACATCCTGCTCACTGTCTGGATGGCTTCATGCTTCTGGAAGGCACAGGAAATGCTCTGGTGTAGAAACACTCCTGACCTGCAAGCTTTCGCGATGCCTGGCAGAGGCTTGGGCATGGAAAGCCCAGAACACAGCCAAGCAGAACATGCTCCTTGCCGTGCAAACTGCTTCGTGAGCGGATGGCAAGCTCTGGCAGAATTATCTTTGAGCCGTCCGTGACAAACGTGCTGGTTGTCTTGACTTGCACATGCAGTCAACCCGGCAGCACTGGCACTTACAACAGCCCAGCAAGCTAAGGACACATTCGGTGGCAGATGGCAAAATAGACGGCTGGCAATGGAGTCAGAGAGCACCTCAGTGCCGCTTTGAGCGCCACGTCGAGGGCCCTCTGCCTGCAACATGCTGCCTGTAAATAAGAATTTAAGGACCTGAGCTGAAGTGACGTTACTTTGCAAGGCTTTGTGTCCTGAATAAGAATATGAAAGCAGATTTCTAAAAAAGAGTTTCATGTTTAGTGAGTGGCCACTATGTGCCATCCTACCCTGCAGCTGTGGCAGCATCTGAGAAATATTGACATATATCGACTACCTTGCTGTATCTTGCTGTTCTGGGCGGATTGCCCACCAAATCTTAAGCTGCAGAGCAGGGAAGCTTGCACGGCTTACAGCTTTGCCAGACGCTCTTGTTGCGGTGTGGCAGAAGCCAAGCCCACAAAGCAATGTACAGTCTGTTAGCAGACTTCGGTCTCACCGTTTCACCCGCATCTGCAGCAGAGTTTGTCTATACAGCCGCAGCCTCACAGCTGTAGTCTGTAAGGTACAGCCAGATGATCGGATGAGTTAGTCCGAAGAATTCATTGGCGGAGGGAGGTAAGCAAGTTGGTCAGCTTCTTCTGCAAGTTCAGTAGTTCAGTGCAGCCGACACTACAGTCTGGTGATCCTCAGCCTCCATTTGGACTTTCATGCACAGGTGCCCGGTGTATCCGCGGGAGTTTGCATGACTCGGTGCCAACCAAGGTCAAGGAGCATCCCTTGGCCTGGGAGTAAATTCGAAAACCAGCTAGGCATCCTTAGATGTCAATAGCTGAGACTATCTGAGAGCATTGCGGGCTTTTGTCCATGCTGCAGGGACTGCAGAGGCACCAGCATGCGCAGTCCACCAAGACTACGATCAGATGCAAAAACGGATATTCCCAACAACACTGCTAGCAGCATGTTTTGAGGTGGCTTTCTCAATCCTGAGTTCGGATCAGCGTAACTTGAACAGATCCTGGGTTCCTCCCAGGAACTGTAAAGCAAAATATTCACCTTTGACATGACAGCTTGACTGTCGCAGCTTTGCTGTGCAGACCGGGCAGGTTGTGAAAATCAGATTGGAGCGTGCAAGACAGCCCGAGTAGGTGAAGCCGAGGTCTCAAGAAGATCAAGAATTCCGCCTCCCTGCATTAAGGCCACGGCATCTCCGAGTGCTGCTTCGCCAGCCCAAAGAGTCGCGGGAGCAGGCACTGCGTTGCTTATTGCCAGGCATGGTTGGGTGGTGCTGTTGTGAAGGAGAACGACAGATTCGACACGGTCCTCGAGAGAGAGGTGCTCTTTGCCGCGACTGCCTCAGCTCCAGAATCCGCGGCACCACGGACATAAATGCAAGTTGAAGTTTGAGAGGACAGGCGGCCGCATGCAATCTGCATCATAATAAGTCATCCTACTGCCTCTTTCAGGCTATTAAGTGCCAAGCAGCGAACCAGCCATGTCGCCGAAGCGGTAGACCTCGGATGTACACCAACAATCGCCAAAGAAAGGTCAATGTCAACCATGCAGCTCGCAGAGCCATTTTCTGGGTTGATGTACCCAGACTTCAACCCGAGCAGGTCAAGCCTTCGGAGTCTACCTGGCAGCTTGAAGTGGTCACACCCTTGGATCCTAAAGTCTTTCCAGGGATGAAGCGAGCAGTAAACAACCTATGTCTAAGGTGGATGGCCGTTGTGAGCTGCAGATCTCCCTCCAGAAGGAAGTGGCAGAACTGGTTGCTGAGGCGCCACGGAAGCTTGATAGGTTGGCAAGGGCCATCCTGCCTGTTTTGCGCTTCGGGCACAAACGCACATTTAAGAGCTTGACGGTGTATGGTGTGAAGCAGATTCCGCAGAAGATACTTGCAACATCGTTTTGAATGGCAGGCTTTCCGCTGAACAGGCGGCAGCCCTGCCTCGACACGAAGTCTGCCTGCAGGGTAGTGCTCGGCTCTTGCACGACGACCTTTACGCCATCGCCTGCCGAAGTCCTGCCGCGCCGGCCAAGAGCGCCCTTGTTGTCAACGGAGCAGCGCTTCGCAAGCCAACGACCAGATGGCACAGGCTGAGGTGCACGCACCCTGGCAGTGGCCTTGCAGACTTTTGAGCAATCCCAACCCAAAGGGAACTTAGGACGTGCACAGAGAGCATCGAGGTGTACCTCAGAGCGGCCGGCTGATTTGGAAAAACAACTCGCCTGTCTTGAGTACTTTTTCTGTAAGAAAACCTTCTGCAAGAGAGAAACCCCCCCCTCCGCCTCACGCAGACCCTGTCTCGAGAAACGCGAGAGCGCTTGTACCCAAGGCGAGGAACACTTTTGCGGGCACTTGTCCAGACTCGACAAGCTGTTGGGTGCTTGCAGGTCTGTAGCTCCCAGCCGTCATGCGCCAGCCAGCCGCGTGGATTTGACATGCTTTGAAGCAATTTGCAGCAGATGTGCCTCGAAGTGCATCAAACGCATAGTGTTTGCAGAAGATGAAGTTTTCTCATCATCTCAACGAAGCATGCCAGGAGGCCTTCATCTCTATTCTTGTGGACTTAGCAATCGACTTCCAGCGTGATGCAGTGCGGGCGACAAAAGAGGGGCCTGAGGCCTAGAAAGACCAGGCTGGGCATAAGATATTCCGATATGATTCTTATGACAAGCAGATAAACGCCGTTCAGACACTGGAGGTTTGAATTCCTGGTTCTGAAGCTTTAGTTTTGCTGTCTTCGTTTTGACATGTTCTGATGATCTAGGCCAGAAGTTTTCTAAGGCTCTGTTGTTTGCTTTGCTTTCAGGCCGACGTGGGCCACTAGCACTGAGAAGCGAGGGTTTGTGGCTTTGGGTTCAGCGTGCAGATCAAAGCGACTTTGCGCCCGAGAGCGCCACTGATATGGTTTTTTCCAACTGAAGCTGCTGCTGGCAGGAGCACGGCAAGTTGAGCATATACAAGAGAAACAGAGACTGCCCAACAGCTCAGCATCAAGCTTTGATGGAAAATGCTGCACCTCAAACACGTCATACGCACGCTGTGCCTGGTTACAACGCCAACCTCTACATCCGAATGCTGTTGGGCTGACTTTGTATACCCTCGATTTTTGAGCGCGTGGAAGTTAAGGCTTGCGCATGCACAACTTTGCGGGCCTGGCATTGAGGCCACGTTACCTCCGGGGTGACCGCTTGGACACTGACTTGGAGGCTTGGTGAGCAGTACAGGTCATATGCAAACGCGACTGCTTCTGTGACAAGGCAGATGGTGTGGGGCTAAGCTGCCGAGGGTCCTGTCCGTGGCTTGTAGTTACATATCACGCCTGCGACTTTGAAGCATGTTTCTGACTGCCCCGTGCGGAGAGTGGTCTCACAGGATCTGACGGCTTTTGGCGAGAGGGCATGAGCCCCGTGCGAGCCGGGGACTTCAGACTTGCAAGCTTTCACATGCGTACCGATTAGGTCCTTGGTCAGGCTAGGGAGACCTAAAGAAATGCTGCTTTTCAATTGCCATGCTATGCCAGTCGCGATTCTTCAGGCTTTGGGCTTGCTTCAATTCTGGCTAGCTTTGGAGGACAAGGCCCGCCACGGCTTTGTAGGCAGAGAACGAGCAAGGCTTCTCATCTCTGATCCAGGCGCGCTTGGGATTGCTGATGAAGCCAGAGCGAGCACAAAAGACGATCCAGGTAGTGCTTGGGGTCTTTCAATCTTTGTTGATGTTGAGCTTGACACGCGGCCTTCTGTAAGGACTATGTTTCTGGCAAGGGTGTGGCCGAAAGAGTACGAAACCAAGCACAGAAATGGTACATCAAATGGCACACTTAAGCTTTACTCTTAGCTTTGTACCGAGGTCTCTCAGGCATTTTCATCGAAGTTTGGCTACGAGACCCGCGACGCGAATGTGTTGTGCGCGCCTGAGGTAGGCATGTCTTGCAGAGAGTCTGCCTTCAGCTAATGACTCTACTCCGCAAGGTACAGGTTTTGGCAGTCAATGACCATCAGCGTTCGGTCAGGGCAGAAGGCGGAAAATGGCAACTTGTACGTACCGCACTGCTGCCCTTCACAAGCTTTGCAGTTTCATGCAAAGCTGAACCTCGCAGGTTCGTGGGTTCGCAGATCACGAGGCCTTGCAAGCCTTGGAGCAGACATTCGGTTGCCCTGTGTCGGTTTCCCAGCTTCAACATGTGCTGCAGGTTCTAGAACTTCTTCAAGCACATGTACGAGAACGTTCTGAAGAAAAAGTGGCAGGACTCTTGAGTAACTGCTCTTCCTGCAACTCCGGGCATCCAAGACCATTGTTGACAGAGACCTTCACAATTGTTCCACATGTCAAAGTACAATATTTTTCAAACACGGCAAAAACGACTTTACTGTAGTGGAGTGTGTTCTGCTGTCGTTGTTGAAGGTAAGGGTGTGTTCAAGGAAAGAGTTAGTTGAGGCCTGACCGCTGCACACGTTCGCAGGCCCCAAATGTGTCCACGACATGCTCAGCAAAGCATATCCAAGCCCAATTTGGCCGAAGGGAAGATTCTGGGTGAGGGATGGCAAGAACATCGAGTTCAGCCACCGACGGCCAAGGATCTGTTTGCAAAATAAATAGCACTTCCAGAATCCAGACACTAGGCAGCGAAACAGCTTCTGTGGAGGTTGCTGCAACATGGTGGGTCAGAGTCAGCGTGACAGAGTCCGCGTTTTGCTTGGTCTCCAGCCGGCTCTTGCTGCGCTTGGGCTGTTGGCTGAAAGGCAAATAAAGGCAACGCTGTAGAGAAAAAGTGGCAAAGGCGAGGTTGGTGCCCTGGCCATGCCCCGGAAGCAAAAACGAACCCAGACGTTCTGGCAGAACCCCTGGCACCAGAATTCCTGGCCGTTTTTGAGATTCCACACCTCTTGCTAGGGCTTGAATTTCAAGCTGCCGGGCTGCTTGCGAATGCTTTCCGTGTGCTGTGGAGTGCTCTTGGAGTTGTTGGACTGCTCTTGGAGTGGTTGTGTACCGGAGGCCTCAGTACACCCCGGGCCCTGCCAGCCCCTGTGATAAGTGCGGCATGCCTCCCCATCATCTTTTGCTGTAATGAAACACGGTTCAGGATTTGAGGCAACTGCAGGCTTCAGAAGCAAGCACGTCTCCAACATTAGGGCCAGGGGTTCAAGCTTCTGCTCTAGGGTGCGGCAAGCCTAAAGGAGGTCTCGCCTAGGGTTGGGAGTCAGGGTCTATGGGCCTCATGATTTAGGAGATGCAGAGCTCAGGTTTGGGCTTCATGCCAAATTAGAGGGTTTCGGGATTCAGGAAGGACGTGTAGAAATCGGGTTGCGCTACCTCATTTCCACTCTCTACAAGATGCTATGTTGTCACCGGAAGGTCACGCATGAGCAGGGTTGTACCGACTGATGGCTCAGCATGGCAATACGAGATATGAAGAGCACTCAGTAGAAGTATGAATACATAATAACACATCATGCATACATGAGACATATGAGACGTATCAAATGAAGAGCGTCCAGCAAATTTGAGCAAAGGCCCCGCCAAAGTCGCCAAGGGACGGGAAGAGGCAGACATCTTGAAGCAGTTGAGAGACTTGCCGCGAGACTCTTGCAACTGTCGTTCTTTTGTCTCCACAGGGGGCCCTGGCGACCAGCAGGTGAATGTCTAGAGGCATGGATCCAACCATTTGCACCAGCACGGGCAGCAGTATCCGGAGTCAAAGATGTGACGAACGCCTTGATCTCATATCCAATGGTCTCCGCATCGAGCTGCTGAGCCTCAAGCAACTTCACACCCATCACAGCAAGGTAGGCGAGAAGAGTTGATTTGCTGTTTAATACGATCAAGGGCTGCCGCGGCTGCAGCAAGACATAGCAGGACAGAACTGAAGCAACATCGTGGCTGTTCAATGAAGTTGAATGCTAGCAACATTTGATGTCATCTCTTTTGCACAACAGCTCTGAGCTCCGTGAGCTGTGGCTGGTTTGGTGGCGCTTAGCGGTTAGTGCCGGGCCTCGCAGCGTGCCGCTGCCTGGGCCCTCGGGCTGGTCGACCAGCAGTTGCAATTACAGCAGTTTCAAGCAGCCTGGAACCTTTGCCGGTGATGGCTTTTCCTAGCATTTCGTCAGGGCCTCAATTGGACTGGCATGGCTGTGGGAAATGCATCCTTCGCAGCAATGGTTAAATGCCCGCCAGCCCATGTATTCAAAGGACGCAACCAGAGCCTTTTTTGATGCAGGTCAGTACTTCGCGCAAGGCATGGCCTCGGGTGGGCGTCTCAGAGTGCGCAGCTGCCGCAAATCTGCCGTTTGGCCCACTGATTTTGTACATGGCCAGCTGACGTCGCCACACTGTTCTTTTGTTTCTGAAGAGCTGCACCTGCGAGGTATTTGGCGATCATTTCGATACAGTTTGGCCCAACTTGCTACTTGAAACGTGTAGAAGTTGCGGTTGTGTGTTTTTGCCCCTTGCCGCACCGCGTGACTCCTAGCCAGGCATACAGCCCCTGCTTGCAAAGCAATTCATTCACAGGGACTGTGTGCCAGAAGCTGAGATGTGACCTTGCGCAAGTAAACTAGCGGAGCTAGCAAATGGGGATGTTGCAAGTATGTAGTTGGCCAAGATCATGGTTTGCGCTGCGATGACTTTGGCAAAGTAAAAGCAGTAGTAGACTTGCCAGAAACTTATGGTTTGCCGACGAGAGCTTGTCGTGCTGAGGACAAGTTCGCTAGTCTTTTGTGCAGAGATGGCCAAGGTGGTCAGCAGCTCAAGAATTTGGAGCTAGGGCTGCCTGCTCATCCTCGATTCGTGCTACAGCAAGCTACCACCGGAAAAGACTTATATTCCAGAACAGTGTTGCAAATGGGCCAGCACTCTTGCTGAGAGTATGATGTTTAAAGAGCATTCCCAAACCACTTGCAACCCTGCACGGGGCAGCTGTCATTCAGCATTTCTGTTGCTGGCATGCCCATTGTGTGAGCTTGTATCGTCAGTGCATTTCAGCGCCCCCAGGTAGGCTGCATTGCCATCATGCCGGGATGCCAAGCATGTCTCCTGCCCTCGTAAAGTTGTCCAACAACTGGCGAAGGCTGAAGGCTAACATCTTCGCGAGATTGCATGTTCGCATGTTCGGCCTGGCTGTTGGCTGAGGTCTATAGATGACACGGGAAAGAGGTGCTTCAGCAACTGGAAGCTCCAGGATTGCTTGCTTGCCGCAGGCCCGGCCCTCGGCCAGGCTTGAGCTCCAAAAGCTTGGCCCAGGATGTTGGCCCAGGGCCTTGCCTCCCTTTGCTGCGTTTTGAGCCCGAGGCATTCCCTCCATCACCTACGTGGTGCAGAATTTTTGCGTGCAGGCACGAGGACACGAGGGCGTCAGTGAGACTCACAGGGAAACTAGCACGTCCACCTAGATAGGCGAGACAACACTAGGCGCACACTGCCTATATGCCCTACAGCCCAGCAGGTTTCTCCCGTCAAGGCACCTCCGCCAGCTGCATGCCTTCACGAGGTAGCGTACCAGAACCTTGACGCGGTTGTCTTCAATGCGGCTGCCTTAGCGCAATCCGCTAACTGAGAGCAGGGGAAAGCAACCAGATGCAAGCACCATGTGATTGTCTAAAACTGAGTCAGCTCAGGTGCTGAACCAATCCAAGGTGTTATTCACTGCTTTGTTCTCCTTCCTCATTAGTGGAAGGAGCTTCTGCAAGACCCACACTGCCTTCGTTGTCGGGAGCTGTATAGGGCATGTACATAGTTTCATTCTTTGCTTGCACTATCTTGCACCAATCTGCAGGAAGCAATCACCTTTACAGTGCGCAGCTCTGGTCCTCGTCACCTTCGGCGGAATCTTGGCACGGAGCCCAGCTGGACTGTAGGTAAGACGCTTTGCCAGTGTAAAGCTTGTTCGTGCTGCACGGACGGGCTTTGGAAATTAGGGCAAACTGGGGTTGAGCGCGGTGTGTTCCGGTGAGCAGCAGAAGAACACGTGTTCCGTGTGGTAGCTTCCGCTCGTCTCGCGAGAAGTCCCGTGTTGCAACCCCAGCAGGTGAGCATCCCAGACACTCCGCCAGCGCAGGCGGAGAATCCCAAAGAAGACACACAGGACCCCGAGCAAAAAAGTGTAGTCTTTTTGTTTGAGTTGCTTTTATAAAAACAATTCAAAACTATTCAGAGCTTGGAGGAGAGCCGTTTCCTCGGCCTGGCCTGTGCCTTGGTCGGCTCAGCGCTTAGCGGCCTCGGAAGTGGCATTGCGGCCACTTTTTGGCAATTAGGGGGGGGGGGTCCTTGGGGGGAGTCCTTTTACCCTTTATGGAAAGCTTTCACTTTTCGAAATGTGTAGAGCTTTGCAACATCCAGGAGTGGGCGCTACAGAGACGAGGGCGGAACAGCTTCTTGCTCTCGCTGGAATTGGCCTCGATGGGCTGCTTGCAGCCCAGAAGCTTTGTGAAAGCTTTCCGGTTTCGTTCCTCTTTGTGGCCTTAGCAGGCATGATTATTTCCACCACCTCGCTGCTTGGCCTTTCCCCTGACAGCGTCAGGACCTTCACGTGTCTAGGTATGGATGTCATTGCTGCCAGCAGTTCCAGGTCCCTTCAACATAATCTTGAGATTGCATCTCATGAGCATTGACGGGTTCGGCTGACGGTCGCTTGAAGTCTTGTTATGATGATAGGCTAGCTGCGGCAAAAGCTTTTGTCACTGAGTCACCTCAGCGCCTGACAAGCAAGAGGGGCGGATAATTTGACGCACCCAACGCGCAGGATGAGACAGAATGGTCTTTTTGCCGGCTGGACTTTCCGGACATGGATTCCCGTGCGGCGCAGCCTCTAGTTTACCACAGTCAGCGCATCACAACACAGCCCAAGCTCAAATCTATTCCTTTTGTCAAGACATGTACTCCGTGCTACCTTGGTGCTAGATCTTGAGTCAACCTTTGTCACCTGTCCGCAGGTACTTAGCCAAGGCTTGAGTGGCATTATTGTGGGCATCATTACGCAAGTGGCTCTGCACCCGGAGGGCCCATGGTATTGCTGCATCACCAGCAGCAAGACGTGGAAAGTTGAGAGTGCTGGTCACCTGGGTGTCCTCAAGCCTTCCGACCTCAGGCGGGTGGCGTCCGGAAGGTCATGGCCACCATTTGCGGTCTCATTTTGACATGCTTGCCTGGAGCCTACAAAGCCGTGCTGGAAGCGCTTGACTTGTGGGTTGTAGGATTGGGAATGGCTATCCAAAGTGAACCTAATCACTCGCAGTGACCCTATATTCTCCAAAGGGATGAAAGATTTAGCAAAAGGAAGCAGCCAGCGACACAACGGACACGACTCCAGGCTGCAGCAGGTTCTGCTTGGCATGAACCTGACGTGAGCTGGCCCTGCTTTGGTGACGGTCCGTCCTGCCAGGTCCCTGTCCGCATGAATGGATTTCCTGTTGTTTGCCAGGTGGCTGACACTAGCAGCAGTGCCTCTCGTAGCCAGCGGCATCTATCTTCATGTGCCATGGCGGCAGATAGCAGGACACTAGCCTAGCTGTGAAAGAGTTTTTTCTCGCATGGCTTACCAAGGCAAGTTTTCCACCACCTTCGCAACATGCAACCTGATGCTGCTTGGAAAATGGAGCGTGAGTTGCAGCGCCGCAAGCATGTTGGATACTGTACCAGCCTGGAGCTGGCAAGGGTCTCCTTGACCTGCTGCTAGCACAAACATACGAAGGCCCCTTCCGATGTTTCAGCGTTGCAGGCCACGCAAACGCTGCCATCGCCTACAGCTACTCCACGAGGCTGTGGTCTACGGTTTGCTCAACAGCCTCAACGATCTCAGCATATCACCACTCTCAAGGGCTTCTTTTATGACATGCTATGACTGAGCAGATAAGAGTACTGTCAAGCGCTTTCTGAGGAAAAAGGCGAGACCTCAGTATCCTTGCCCGGTCCAAGCCACGCTTGGACGCTCTTGAGTTCATCCGAGCAGCACGGCTGCATGGTGCTGCGCAGGTTGAGAATAAGGTTTTGCTTACTGGCTTGATGGCATTGTGCAGCACGCATAGATCGACTGAGCAACTCATGTGTCAGGTTTTGGTATCATCACAAAATGGAGTGTGTCCAAGGGGTTTCTGCGAAAGCAAATGCCGCAAGGCACTTGCAAAACGCTTTCCGGAAGACAAGACCTTGAAGCACATGCTGAAGCAGTGCCTGGAAGGCATCGGAGCGTGAGCACTGACCCTTGCTCGTACAGGTTTGGGCATCTGTTGATATGCATTTCATGATGTAAATTTAGAATGAGGAAGCAGCGGCCTGTGGCACCACAAGGTTGTTCTCCTGCCACAGGATTTCAGCTTGATTTGGGCAAGCCAAGTCTGTAGGACACGGCGCCTGACCGCACAGCCAATGTAGGAAACACTGCCTGAAAACAGAGCCAAGGGCTGGCTCACAACAATGCAGATCATTTATGTTCTCTGAGGCGTTTGCAGCATGGCAGCCGGCCCCCATTGAGTTCGCAATAATTGACTGCGCTTAGATTCACAAGCTGTGTGGAATTTGAATACATACTGCTAATTCAATAAGGATGTCTATTTGCAGTTGACTTGTGCTTGTCATGTTTTTGGACATGATGTTGACTGCCTGGCAAAAGCGTTACGGCGGGATTGTTGTGGAGTTCGGGGGGGCGGGTGTTGGCCTCAAAGGCAACACTTGCCCGGGGTGCCATGACATGTGTAAACGAGAGGCAGCAAAAAAGCTTTACGCAAATGCTTTGATGGTGATTGAAAGCTCAGCAAAGTTGCAAATATTGCCGAGCACCGTATTTTCTCTCAAAAGGAAAGAAAGTCAGCAACGAAGGAATCAACCAGAGAGAGGAAGACTGGAAGCCAGAAAAAAGATGAAGAAAGAAGGCAGAAGCGGAGGAATTAGACAAAGAGAGATAGAAAGGGAGCAAGAAAGAAGGAACACACCCAGGGAAAGGAGAAACAACCGTTTGTCTTTATCATGATGATGAAGTTGAGTAACAGGACCAAAAAGTTAGCCACAATTACAAATAGTGCCAAGTGTGTGTTTCAAGCTCCCCTCACACAAAAGGTTACAGAGAAGAAATCAAATAACTAACAGAAGTTCATGTCAAATTTTGAGGAAGAATAGAAAAAGGCACATGTGTGTCATCTTAATTCATGTTTTGCGCCTGGCCGGGGCTCCGCGCGCCCGACTTTCTCCACAACCCCCCTTTTTCTTTAGGGCAAGCATGATTGACAAGTCTTAACAAGACCTGTTTAGAAAATGTTGGAAACGATATGTTCTCGCTCTTGATCACTGTTTGGTAAATGGGAGGGGCAGCGCCTCGCCCCCCGCGCCGGCTGTTGTCGAAAACAAGCACTAAGCTTGGCAACTCCGACCAAACACTCAGGAGGAAGCTACATGTTCCCATCGATACAGGGGTGCAAATGAAAGGCTCCACCAATCCCTAGCGCCGGCGCGGTACTTCAAAGCAAGCACAATGCCTGGCAAATCTTCTCAAAGCTCAGCTACATGTTGTTGTCTTCGTCCATGTTCTTGAAATGGCGGGACTGACCCCCCACTCAAAAATCAGTACACCTAATAGGATCTGACCCAGCACCCTTGTAGTGCAAGCACAGCTATTGAACAGCTCCCGGCGTTTTATTGTCCAGTGCCGGCACCCTCTGACAGCAGGCTGCAGAGGTCCAGATACTGTAAGCAACTCCAGTTGGTGTAATTGCCAAGCCTCCGCTGTTGGCCTGCAGATCACCGAAACAGAATCTCTTCTGAAGCATCAATGCAAGGCTCGTTTGACCAGCATCGTGTCGGACTGTGCCCGGAACGCATGTCACAGCTGCAGCACACCCGTTCTATCTCTACGTGGTCGCGGAGCTTTCGGAATACTCAAAGTGTTTTTTTTGCATTTCTAGAGGTGTCCAGGCAAGACTGCCCTTGGATTATGCGTACGCAGAAGGCATCGGAAGAACTCCGAGAATCAAGCCTGCTGTCGGTCATCACTCTCACAATTGTGATTCGCCAGCAGTGTGCACACCATCCTCATGCAGCGACGAGTGACTAATGGAAGGTCACGGAGCCGACAGTGAAGTCAGCTACTACTCGCGTGCTTGCTCAACGAAAAGTGAATAGGACCCGAAAATCTGAGAGCGCGGTACCAGCATTGCGAAGTCCGAGGATTATGAACCAACCGGCAGGCTCCAAAAGTTGCGGGTGGGTGGCAACATGCAGGAAGTCCAGCAGCACCCATTGTATGCTTTCAGCAGTTGTTCTATCGACAAGCACATGTGCCGTCGTGAAAGCTTCAGGAGATCTCAGATGGAGCCTCACAGAGCATGCATCATGATGAGCTGATCATCATGAATGCTCATTGGACCAGTAGTGCAACGCAGCATGCGCTGAGATATTTGCAGTTTGAAGGGCCTTTGAGAGTTGTTTTGCAGGGGCATCCAGTTCTGCAGCTGCAGATCCAGACGCATACAACTTGCTCGTGGATACTACGGCTTGGCCTCCCAGAGTCACATCGCAGCTTGGATCTGAAAGCCGCATCACGGCAGGTTCTGAAAGAAGCTAGCCGTGACAAGCGACTGCCCAAGCTCACGATGTAGCTGCTGGAGCAAAGCATGGCCAGATGTCGGTGCCCGTTTCATCTCGTCAGGGCCCCGAAGCCAGCTGCTGGGCGTCTGGATGCCCGGTTGAAGTTGCAAGCGGCTCAGATTTGCCAATGCCAATGCTTCGTGAGAGCCGACAAGCTGCTTCAAGGCAATTGCCTTCGCAAGCAGAGGCCGAACGGAAAGCAACTTGTATCTTGGCAAGTTGACTGCACAGCGAGTCATGCGTGCAATCGTTGCTGCAGCACTGCCTATTCTGAATTTCCCTTGCGCATAGTCTGCGTCTTCTTCCTTAAGGATGTTTCCCACACTGTGCGTGTCGGCAATGTTTCTATTGAAAGACAAGCGGAGGCAAGCTATTAGTTCGACCAGGTGACAATGGACCCAAGCTTAATAGAACTGGAGAACATACAAGCTTCGCTTGTGGTTTGGCATTTTTCACAAGCAGCGCACAAGTCAGTTTATTTTCTTTTTTCGGCGAGTTCCGGGTCGTCGTCTTAACAAGGTGCGGTGAAACAACTCGCGGGGACAACCCTGGACCTACTAGGAAGAGGGGTATGGATGCTTTTCGGGTCTTGAGAGATGGCAGGGAGAGGGGAACACGACCAGATCTTGGTCTGTGGATTCCAGATGCGTGTTGGATGGTGGCTGCGGCGAATTTCTTCCCAGTCTCGCGAATGTGGTCCAAGATGGCACAAGTTCTTCACATCTTTACTTACCTACATCTACAATATTTTTGTCAGGCCACGGAGCAGATACACAATATTTCTGTCACTGTAGCTGCATGCCTCATGTTGTGGCCAGCTTTGACTTTAACGCACATGCCCTTCGCATCATTGGGTTACGACGTGCCCTCCTGAGTTTTCCTGGTGAGGGGTCCTTCCACAAATGGCTGGAACAAGATACCGAGAGGGCAGGGAGGCAAGGCAAGCTTCCTGCCACCATGCCAGCAACTCCGATGTCTGAGCAGCCTCACCAGGTTCCTACACCTACTGCAAGATGCCAGCAAGGTCTCCAAGAGTATCCGCCGGTACATGCGCCACCGAGCCAAACAGCGCTAAACCCAAGCAATGTAATGCCAGCTCTGGCACTTGCTGCAGTCAGACACACGAGCAGCTTCTGAGGTGCTTGGAGCGAGGAGCAAAGTTAGGTCCCACGGGCCCTGTGGTTCCAGCCAGGCGATTCTCCAAGTCTGAAGATGGAAATGTGGGCCTGCCACGCTCGGAAGGAATAGGACAGAGGCCGACCTGCCCGCCTTGTACGTCATCGAGGCCATGAACCGTCAAGAGTCTTGAGGCTTTGCCAGCTTTTTTTTTCGGAGCTGCATCATTCTTTATGTCTCGTGGCAGGATACCTTCGCGCATCTCTGCCGCAGGTTTGGTGCCAACGAGGTCTGTCCTGACAGTGAGCAGAAAATTGAAAACGAAAAAAGCCTGATCTCTGTTGGAGTGTGCCATGTGCAGGTGTACGTCCGCTTTGGGCCTTACTACTTGTCTAGAGCTAAGGAGAAGCCTGCATATGTGGTCCACGTGCATGAAGCAAATTTGCACTCCATGCAGCCTAGCAACTGACAAGTGAATGATGCCTAGGTGTCGAACCGTTCAGGAGACAAAGGAAGTAAAGCCTCTGATTGAGGAGACGGGCTCCCAGCTTGTTGCAATAGTAAGATGCCAGCACCACTCCTTGGCCCAAGGGTTACAGATTCGACACAGGGCCCAGTGCTCAACCGAAGCTGGCATCAGAGTTGGGATGCTGGTTGCAAAGAGGCTTTGACGACGATTCCGCAAGCTGAGGTGGCGCTGTCATCGACTGTCCAACGCATGGTATTTCCTGTCGCTTGCTCGGACTTTCTGCCGAACCTCAGAACTCAATGCACAGCCAAGGTGGACCCAGCAAAGCTCCTGAGCTCGACCAACAGTTTGGGTCCGGCCTCCTCGTTGGTCCTACCATCACTGAAGTGGTCTGAAGTTGTGGCTGTGCTGGAACGTGCCAGATGGCGTCCAGACATTGCAAGTCACGAGTTTAGCCTTGGCGGATCCTGGTGGTCAGAACCTTTGCGGACAACGACCCGTCTCCACATTCACGAGTCCCTGCATTGAGTGCTTTATGCACTGCAGGCAAATGGACCTTGGCCGGCTTCACAGTTGTGCAGGTGTCCGCGCAGCCCTGAGACTCTTGCGCAGGATGGTAACATGTTGAAATGGGAGGCCCCCTGCCACTGAAACATGTTTTTACTGACTCTGGCAGGCCTTGAGTGGAATGTGCCCACCATGAAGAAGGCCTAGCTCACTGAAAGCCATGTGAAAGGGAATCATAAAATTCGACTTGACTCTAAAAGGTCACCTACGCCAGCCGCGCGCAGCTGCAGTCTGACTTGGCCCTAGCAAATGGCGAGGGCCTGAGAGTACCCTGAAAAAATCAAGACTACTTCATGGTGGAAATTGTCAGAGTAGGAGCTGCTGGGAAACCCACAGTCATCAGGCGACGGGTACCAGATCGTCGTGACAGACGTGTAAAGCTCAGATCGGACACATGGCAAGGCTGAGGTAAAGGTTCATGTAATGCAAGTTTGATATGTCCTCAGTGGTACGTGAGCTTGCCTTCGACTGCTGAATGTTAGTGGAGCTGTTCAAATGAGATTAGCTGGCTACTTAGTTCAGACTCTTTGAAGTTGCAGTTCATAGCACCCGCTGCAGGTTCGGGAAGGTGGCACAGCCTTCCTCGCGCGAGTCAAGCGAGGGGACGCCAGGATCCAGGATGATGTTGCAGTTCCACAGGTCCAAAACTAACCAATGCTGGATGCAGAGACCATACTCTTGTAAGGCTGAGCACGTTTTGGGAAGTCGCCTTAAGATTCAGATCGTTCCTTTTCAATACCTGATTCCCCTTTGCCCTCACATCCCGAGGGGCTTGGCGCACTAGTTAGGACTGCTTCTTTCGTTTCAACTCAGATATTTCAGCTGAGATTAATTAAGGCGCCCGGCGTGACTGCGAATTTGTTATTTCTGACCAGAAGATGACAGATTCACACTAAGCTGAGTTTGATTAAGCTTTCCATGCTTACATAGAAAGGGGGCTGAAAGTCGGTGTCGAGCCGGATTAGGTGTTGCAGCTGAACGCTGGCGGAAACGCAGATGATGCATTTGTCGGGCCCGGGCCGCAGAAGACTTGTCACGGCAGCTTCCTCAATCTCCCTCGTTACAGACCGGAGGTGGTGTTTGCAGCAGTGGTGTTTGCAGCAACTCCTCACAAGGCAACCTTAAGTCTTCTGGGTCTGTTGGCCCAGGCCACTGGCCGCAGACCGATGTGCAGTGTGCGTACAGTGAAGATGCTGGAGATTTGCTCTTGCGCTGTTGAGGCATCATTGGCCATGTCAGATGTGTTAGCAAACTTGGTGGCCCAGGCTGTCCCCGGCAGAGGCTCTGACAAAGCTCGCTAACGAATTTTCGCAGCCCCTGACGTTGGTCTTCAAGGCCCTTGCATCAATTCTGCCATTGCAGTCATGAGTATTACTGATGCATGGAAAGGATAAAACACGTCTGAGGAGATGGCACAACTTAAGTCGGTCATGATTTACATAGTTTGAAACTGCAGATGAGCCATAAAGCACTGCAGTCCGCGCAGTCTGTAACACATGCCTGCAGCAGAGAATTGAAATCCAGTAGGTGGTGAATGTTTAGCCTAGTTCGAGATACAGAGCGCATCTGGCGCTTTTGCAAGGGGTGCGGGGTCTGCCGCAGCAGTGAATCTATTGAGTGAGACGGGGGCCTTGCATTGCATGGCACAATGGTGCAGGGCCCGCAAATGAGTGGCGAAAGCCAGAGGCTCCAACGTTTGCTGGAGCAGCCTCTGAAGGCAGGTCTTGCACGAACCACCACAGCTCGAGAAGGTGGAGGATACTGTAGTAACGATCGTGCTGCGAACATCTCTAAGACAGTCCTTCAGGACATCCTCAGCTTCAGTTTGCTATTAACGTTCGGCTTAACATTCTACCGACAACCTTTGCAGAGGCTTAACACCTGTGGTATGTTTTCGCAGGTCAAGGTCCTCGCCAGCAAGAAGGATGTCGCGCCGGCTGCAGATTCGCCAGAGCAGTGGGAGACAATTCAAGAGCAGGACGCGATCCAGAGTTTGTTGACAGGCTCTCTGGTGGCTCAAAGTGAGCCATTTTGGGTAATGCTTTACTATCAACAACTGCTGGCTTTTGTTGCATCCTTTCTGTGGTGTCGACCTACGTACAGTCGCCGCTCTTCAGGCGATCTTCACATTTCGCAGAAATCAAGTAGATTTGCTAAACAAAAAAATGTCAAACACTGTCAGGCAAGGTGCGTAGGTCTTAGGTCCCAACCGTTTGAAACTGCCACCTGCGGTTTGCTTCGGTCGAGGCTGCACTGCACAAGCGGCACAAGCATTCAGCAGCATCCTTGCTTCGGCATGCTCTAAGGGAAGCCTCAATTCAGTCGCATTTTGCTCGTGTTGGCTTCCAGGAAGTTGCCGTGTCCACGCAACATCCTTGCATTGTTGGCGCCTGAGTTGGTAATGCCTCGCCCGATTATTCTGGTCTACACATTAAGCTGTTCAACGATTCACTCGTTTCCGCAAGAAGTTGGCTTGAGATGACGAAGCATGTTGGTGATCCACAACCCAACACACTCTGGCATGAGAAGGTGCCCACGATCTTTGTCGCGCGGTGGGCCAAAGCCTCAACAGCATGCCAAACGCGGAGACACAACCAGTTACTGTGAATGCAGGGACAAGGGAAAATGCCTCCTGCGTCCAGCACCAGCACCATCCAGCGACCAATGCATTGAAGTAGGCAGTGTTGGACACCGAAGAGATGTGAACAGTAAAGAGGAATGTGGAAAGAAGGCAGATTCCGTTCCGCATACCTCAGCAGTTCCGGCAAGCATTGAGACTTGCATTTGCAACAATACGCAACAAGTCATCTACGATACTACCCCACTTGGAAATTCAGCCTTCGCCCAGGGCCGTACTAGCTGCGCCTGCAGCATTTTGCAAGCTCAAGTTCTGAAGCATTCGTCCAGTCATGATCCGGAGGTGCGACTTCAATTTGAAAGTCCCTGGCCGAAGCTTGACAATGAGGCCCCTGCTTCACACCACATGTGGCATGCCCCTGACTCAAGCTGGCCAGGCCTTAGCAGTGTCTGTGAAAGCGATGAAGGCATGGAGGGGTATGGCACTGCATTTGCCGACTACATCCATGCTGTTTGCTGCCTTTGCTGCGTTGTTCCCTGGCTGAGTAGCGCTTAAGTGACAATTCCCACAATAGGTTGCAATGGCCGAGCAGAGCATGATCAGAACGCAAACCTGTCGACAATCCCGGGACCCATGAAGCCCCCGTTTCGGCCTTCCCTGGTGCTGGGTGAACATTCCATTCGCACGAATGCTAGAAGAGCTCGCAGCACGGAAGCGTTCACTTGCAAATGCGAATTTGATCAGTTGACCAACCCTTGATTCAATGCAGGCAGTGGCAGAAGAAACAACGGCACAAGAATTCGCGTCTGCAATTTGGGGTCCGGGATTTACCCTTGCCACAAGAACGTCAAGACTCGCCAACCACTTCAAGCATGTTGAAGAAATAGAGTAGCGTGGAGGTGATCTACTGAGAATTCCCGCGTTCATGCTGGCGTGTAAATGGCTGCCTGAGAAGGATTTGATACCAGGCAAGGCAGCGTCCAAGCAGACTAGCATGTGTTTGGGGCCAGGTCTGGAGGCTCGCACCTCCCCTCTTCCGCCAGCAGTTCCTAGAAGTGCTCCGGCAAGTGGAGAGGCACTTGCCGCTGTCTCTGAGCTATGCGAGTAGCCTCATAGCACCATGATGCAAGCATGCAGCAAGAGAACCCACTTCGTGCACGCGAAGGTTACTTGTGTAACAACAAGGCCTCCCCGATCGTAAAAGACCCTTGTGCAATTCAGGCAGGCCGTGAAAGGCCACGCTCTTGTCCAACAACCCAGTCACGAGAGGAGGCCAGCATCCCAGTTGTGCAAGTGCACGACGTAGCCCGTAGCCAGCCTTCCTGACCTTTCCTGACTGACCGGCACGTGTCAGGGTACTGTAATTACATATATCACATCAAGTGATGTCTTGGCAGGTTCTGGGCATCTTCCGTAAAGCCGCAAAGCTTCAACATGGTCGTCAACATGGATATAGTCTTTGCCCCAGCTGTTTGGGGACAGGATTTCAGATTTGAACAGCTGCAATGCAGATTGTTTGTTTGCTTGAGTAAAGTCATTGAGTGGTTGAGTTTGCGTTTTGAGCTTGCTTGCTCCAAGAGACACTGCTGGCACCCGGAGGAAAGCTGCACAAGATGTTCCGCAAAGAACAAGCGTTCATGCAGTCTTCATTCAATCTATAAACGAGCAGCAATCAGAAGAAGCCATGTAAGTCAAGGACAGCTTCGTTTGCCATTGTCGGCGGCGCAAACACCGAACATGGCTGCCTGCGATTTCACTGGAATTTGCCGCAGGTCCGCCGCATCAGGCAGAGCCACGACAGTGAAGGCGATGAAATGCTGGCCAGCGCCCATTCTGGTAAGTCAAAGAGAATATTGTCTCATTTGCGCACTTCAGCTGGGAAGAATCTGCGGGTTCAACGTTCTAAGAAGAGAGCCAAGCAGTGGGTCACAGAGGAGGGCTGGAAGCGCTTGAAGTCTTCAAGCATGTCCAAGGCTTTGCAGATGATGTGCATGCGTGACAAGAAGGCGCGATCCAGCACAGCAAATGACTTCATTGACGTAACCTTCACAACAACATGACGTTGTGATTGCTCAACTTCGCGGAATGCACAGAGGTGCTTCGCTTGCAGACACAGTTAGTTCAATTCGCAGGAATTCAACATCCTTCGTTCGGATGAGATGGTGGCATTGCGCCAGCGAATTTTCTCCAAGGCCAGCGGTAAAATTAGGTGTTGTAGATTTGATGCAGCTGCTTGAACTTCAGAGCCTTAGTCTGCACCAGCAAGGTGGCCGCAGATGTCATGGATGCTTTACAGACAAGTGCTTGCTCAATTCAGGAGGAGGACATTCTGGAATGCACGTTCCATCCACGAACAGCCCTCTCCTTGGTAACGAGTTTGCACACGTACTTCACTTGCACTTTTCTTCCTGATGGTGTGCCGACGTGTACATGTGGCCTGCTTCCTTCACAACATCCGAGGTACAGTAGATGTTTGACATGTAGATTATCTTGGCCAAAGCCTGAGCTCGAGGCTGCCAACGTTCCCGGGCACGTGTACAAGTTCAGGGAGCGAATTTCCGACAGGATGGATGCTTCAAAGGCCTGATGTGAATCCGCGTGTTTGCCATCAAGTTGACCACTGGCTGTGGCACGTCGGAGATTCTCGTTAGTTCGTATTGATGCAGGGAGTTTGCCCGCAGCCACCAATCCATCACTTCAATTCATGAGGTGACGGGCATCAAAGACTTTGTCAAGGCTGACTCGCCTTTGACAGCTGTGAGTTGCTAGCAGAAGCCTGGTGTAAGTTTGGACAGCATGCATGTAAGATGTAAGATTATGACATTATGAAGAGTCAAATGCTTGGCGACTGATGCACCATTCTCACGATCCATTCATTTGAAGCCGCCTGCAACAAGCAATCTTATTATTGCTGCGCACACTCGCATGCTGCAGTTTCTGGGCAGGACTTGGGAGAAGAGTTCAAGGCCCATAAGTACCCGAACTACTGGAAGGTGTTGGCTCCTCAGAGACAGTACTGAAGACAGCTTACACCTAGCCCCTGAAAGCTACCGAGTTGTCAAGGCATCGGCGGGCGATGCTGCAGAAAGCAAAGCGTGACTTTGTGAGAGGTGCGCACTTTCGAAGATGCCTGCAGGTATGCTTCCCAAACAGTCCTCTTTTTGGCTGCACCAGGCGCTCTCAAAAGTGCAATGGAGAAGCTTCAACGTCACTGGGCACAAGCCTACATAGCAATGAGTCGGTAACGCTCCGCGTTGGGGGGTTACGCAGGGTACACGCCAAATGCACGGCTGATCACGAGAGGGCAGAGGACCGGCTATGAGGGTACTAGGTACCTTGGCATGCCCATTTTGCCGACACGTATGTCGGTACGAACTGCAAGTGCACTGCAAATTTTGCTGCTGACGTGCTAGATGCGTGTGAGTCATGGCAGCTAAGGCCACTTTGGAGTGCTAAACTCGGATGCTGCGTGGGTGCACTCCGTGCTGCGCAGCCATCAGTTGAAACGTTTACAAATGTCCACAGGTGCAGCAGATGCTGGACCGCTTCCGATGTTATCACAAGAACTGCGGCCGCAAGTTGGACCATCACACAGAGATGTCCCAGGCTCAGAGAACGGCCACTCAAACTGCCCCTCTTCAACATTCACGTGGAAGCATCAACCTGCACCCAGATGCAAGTGTGCGGGCTTCTATTGTCATATCCACCAGCCTCCACAGGCAATCCAAGCATGTTTTGAGCTGGGAAGCAGAAGGGTTCGGGGAGTGGGTGGGCTAATCTTGGGATTGCATTTTGCGTTTGCATCTGTTAAGTTCTCAAAGGCACTCGCTCATGTTCACCTCAGAATAACAAAAACCCCAACCCCCCTCCCCCCTGCGGAGGATGCGGGCCCGAGCCTCCACAATTGTAAATGGCTATTGCGATACATCGTCATTAGCATTAGCGCTTGCAGCCTGGCATTCAAGCCAGGTCCACAATTGCAAGGATATGAAGAAGATTCTGGAAGCAAAGGCCGGGCGCGCTCAGAATATTGGCACTGAATTCGTCTTTCAGCGGAAGGTATTTGGAGTGCTTGCGCCCTGCCGCTGTTCAGGCAAAAGAGGCTAAGGATCTGGAGATCAAGCTAAGGGAAGAGGGAGGAGATCCGCCGCCGGAGGCGCAGCATGGCGCAGCCTCCGCGCTCTCGCGCAACACCTTTCAACAGTGTGGCAAGCAGAAACGCGAGAAGTAAACCGTGCCTTGACACCTACTCAGCTTTTTACGGTGCAAAGATGAACAGAGGCCTGTGGCAGACTGGGGGTCAAGTTTAGGCTTCCTGCTGAGGTGCAACAGAACATTTTTCTCAGAAGCAAAATGCTGATGATCAGCCAAAAAAAGCCTGTGACCAGCAGGTGGTGCTATGTCCTTCGTCCAGGCAATTGCTTGGAAAAGTAATGACAATTCGGCACAGTCTCCGAAATTTAATCATCCAAAATGATCCCAGACTCCTAGACATCAAAACACTACACAGACTTGACAGAGCAAGCAAACCAGCGGAAATTCATTACAGCCAGCTTCGTCATGCATTATCCGGGTGCCTCTCGGCCACTGTCCAGGAGAAGTTTGACAACAAGGTTGAAATTGGGTTGCTGTTGGAGGCAATGTGGCAAGAGCAGTTTGCAGTTCTGCTCACTTTTGACAGAATGCGGTAGGCCCATGAACTCGCGGAGAGCATCCAGGCTGCAATGAAGGAGAAGGCATGCTCCCTGACCAACCACACTGCATGGCTGCGAGCAGTTCCAGCATGCAGTGTGATAGTTCTGCACTGCTGCAGGACCGGCAGAAGCACAGCTTAGAGCGCCTCGGACAATCCCTGGCATCCTTTGGCGCAGTCCGGCTGATGGAGAGGCCCTGCGCTTGTGCTTGTGATCGGCGAGACCAAGTCATTCGAGTTCATTGCAGTATGGAAGGCCCTTCAAGCGACGCATGTGTCCGGAAGCAGTGGAGAAACGCAGGGCCCGCTCAGCTGAGGCAGACAGCAAGTTGCTGTGCAAGTTCCTGTGAGTCGTCGTGTGGTGCTTAGCCTGAAGGCTCTGAATGTTCTTCCGCGCTGGATGGGAGGATCCAAGTTCAACGCTGAGGCTGCAGGGAGGTTGAACGAATAGAGTTGCTTGACATCCTGACTGCACATTTGGTTGCAATGCTCTGATGAGGAATGCAGCTAGCAGCTAGCTATAATCACCCTTCCGCAGGGACAGAATCTTGCTTGATCTTGTTTCGTGGGTTGGCCAGGGCGGACCCCGAACACCTCGGCTGGGCAGCAGATCTGACTCAAAGGACCGATGCAAGTGCTGCAGACTCAGAGGTTGTGCGGATCGACAATGGAAAGACAAGCCGGGCGATGTGCAAGGCCCCAATGCCCACAGCCCATCCGAGCTCCGCTTTCCTGCAGCCTGCACCCCAGATGGCCCCAGATTCGTGAGACGCGCAGCATACCCTTTGCGGGTACGACTAGCACACCCTCAGCCACGGCTGAACTAAGTAGCTAAGCAGCGCAAAACGCGATCTCAGCCAGCAAGCACCAGCAACGTATGAGACACTGCCTTTCGCATTAGGTCTCGATTTGTCCAATTTTGTCCATGCTTTTTACTTGGATTTAATGCTCCCTGGTCCCTGCCTTCGCATTTGTGTTTACTTTAGGATTGCTGCTCGGATTCCGTGCAACAACGAACAGAGAATTATCTCCCAGACTGCTGATCATATTTGGGCGCCCACAGCAGTGGCTGCCAAAACGGTCAGGGCGAGTCTGTTGTGCGCCGTATGGACTGGGTGAAGAAGGCTGGGATGCGCAACGCAAGATGGGCAGCAGATGTAGCTCGCAGTGATTGCAGTAGATTAGCTCATCCTTGAGTATTTGGCTGGCATCCTGTCGTGCTACTACATGATCTGGAAATGAGGCTGTAAGGAGAGCTGACTTGAAGTCAGAGACCGTTCCGAATTCGGCGGCTGAGAGGGAGCTGCTCGAGCCCCACCGGCATGTTCCGAAAACTTTGACATCGGAGATCATGCGCCTGTGGCAGGAAGAGGAGAAAGGAAGAGGAGAAGGTACCTGGCCCTCCACCGCTTCAAGCAGGCACCTTGCTCGGCCAATTCAGAAAGCGAGGTGAAATCAGCCTGACAAGCATGGTAGGTGAAACGCCCCGACCTCGCCCAGAGCCTTTGAAGGGGCTCGTCATGCGAGTATTGGAGGAGAAGGTGGCGTGTTGCAATCTTTGGGGGTGTGCTTTCCTGGACAGACGGAATACTCTGCTGGGCCAGCATGTGCATTGCATGAGTTTGGGTGCGTCAAATGTTTTGCCACATGCAGAGCAGACGCTATGTTGTGCCACAGACCTGGGAAAGACTGCTGGGTTCGATAGGTGTGATATGCTCGAGCACTGGCTGTTTGCACGCGGGCTCTCGACAGGCTTTCAGCCTCAAGCATGCGTTTGGCCTCTGCTGTGAAGCCCGCGCACTGCTGGAGGCGCACATGATTTGCTGCGATCCGCTGAACATGGTTCTCTTGAATGAGACCATTCTTGCTAACTGCAACTGCGCTTGGCGTTGCTGAGGAGGGCGAAAACCCAAAGGCAGAGCTGCGAGTCAACGAGGCACCTCACAGCCACAGACAAGTCGATATGCTCAAGAACATGGCATGATTCATCTAGAATCTAGAGAGCACATGTCTGCTCGCCCTTAGATTTCCCAAATTCTCCAAGGCAGCCCATTGAAAATTAAAAAGTTGGACACCGAACGATGCGAAAGTGTCTCCAGCCGATGGTGTAGCTCAAAAGGAGCATGCAACTAAGCCAGGCCAGAGAGCTAGCCCAGAAGAGCCAGGACGAGGCCGAGCATCGGTTTGCCTTTCACGCACGCACGAAGAACATCGGGGAGCTTACCAACACAGAGCGTGTTAGTAAGTGACATCATTGGGAACTCTAGGCAAGTCATGTACAAGCGGAATCACCGTGCAGGCGCAAGCAAGCGATGCCGAGTTGGCCGGGAGAGGCCGGTTGTGTTCCTGTTTTGACGATGTTGTTTGTGTTCCCGCGACCATGTGTAGCCCACCCTCACTGCCTCCAGGCCAGGCAAGGATGAAGCGAGCGGGCGGCCTACAATGTTTAAAGAAGATGTTTCTCTGCTGTCATGCCTTGCTCAGCCATGGAATCCGTAGGGCTTTCGGCGGCAGTCCGCAAAGCAAGCTCCAGCTTGGGAAAGTCTGTGCAACTATTCAGAGACACAGCTTCCTAAGCACTAGCTACTGAGCAGCTAGTAGTGAAGGCAGGTCACGGCAGGTCAGTTCAAGCTCAACAGTCGAATCCAATGACCCAAACGGGGAGCTTCTGATCTGTTAGGTGTGGCGACCGCTTCGAGACTGCGAGAAGGAGGTTGGATTTCCCAGCAACATGCTAACTCACGCAGAGACTAATTAACGCAACAACAGATTCTCTTCATGCAGTACTTGCCTCTTAAGGAAGTTCAGATGAAACGAGCGGCCGTGCAGGAGGAGGCGGCATCATGCGGAATGAGAAATAGTTTTGGCTTTTTCGTTCAGAAGACAGTTTTCAATGTATCCTACTCGCTTTGCCAAGCAATTTTCAGCGCCGACTGGACCTGTCCAGCACACTATCCAGTCAACAGCCGACAGGCGCAGCAGATCCTCAACGTCTGCAGCATTCTGGATGAGGAGGCCTGGCTTCCAAAATAAAGCTTGTAAGAATCAGTGCGGACCCATGACTATGTCATTTTAAACAAGTAAAATCAGAGACTTCGTGATACTCGATGGCCCATCACATTATCACATTCCTCCAAAAGCTCGATGGCGAAGTTGTAGATCCGCGCACAACCTGGCGCGGGTGAGTGGCATTTTGGACGTACAAAACCAAGCCTGGCATCGAGGTACGGCTCAGGTGCAGCTGTCCTGTTTGCCATTCTGCTACGCACCCAAGCCTCACAAAAGCTTTCAAGACGGCACCTGAACTGGCACTAGCAACCGCTTTCTCGGCGTAGCTTGCTATGGCCAGGCAAAAGTTTGAACCACAAACACTGCCACCACCGCCACCTCCAGGCAAGAGCTGAAATGGTCCGTTGCACCTTGACAAAACATATTGCCATGTCATGCCAGGAACTGACCCTCTGCCGCCACCTCCGCCACGCGTACAAGGCCTCAGAGCCTTTGAAGATGCCCGGACCTCGGTGCACCACGCTCTCCAACCCGCGTATGGGTCTGCTGCCTTCAACTCGCATTGTTCCCTTAGATCCAGGCACATTGGACATGCCGTATGTGGGTTAGCAGGACACTGCAAGACACTAACCCCCATTAGCAGAATAGCATGAGACGCACTTGAGTCCAGACTTTTTCCTCCAAGAATTGCTTAGGGCCGAGGATTGAAAGAAACAGGTCATGTTTCCTGTATAGCGAAGGGGAGTTACATCGCAGGTGTAATGCACCCGAACTCATGGTTTTCGGTCCTAACATGAGACTTGCTTGGAAACTCCTAGAGTCGTTCTGTGCAACTAGCATGTTTGGCCATTCAGTTTTCCTGCCTGAGAACAGTTAGATGGGCAGCCACCCAATCAGAGCTTGAGACCTCTGAACACGAAACGATTTAAGCCTCCGGATGCTTCATCTCTTGCGGTACTCACAACCTTGAAACTTCGGATCTGAACTTTTCCTGCTTGCAGATCCCGTGCATCAAGCAGGGCATGTTAAGCTGAGCAACCCAAAGTTGCGCAGAAGTGCGGAGATCGTTCTACTGGACAGTGCACCACACATGTCAGCATTGCTTTCAACGGCGCCAGAACGATTGTGTTTTTTCCCGCAAATTGAAGCGCTTTTGCAAGATCAGATTCCCTGATGCACCGACAATTAAACCGGGGCCGTGAGCGAACGGCGCTCAATGTCCAGCGTGAGCACTTCGCGGGCAAGGCACAGCAAGCGTTTGCCAGTGTTGATAATGGAGCATACATGCGCAGAGATTCAGTAGCTATGTGACATGTGGCTCCTCTGGACCTGCCACAAGGTGGACTTCGTGGATTTGTCCAGAGTACCGACAGACCTCGCCGAGGAGCATGGCCTGGATTTCTTCGTGCGCACCTGGCTGGAATCGAAAATGGCCCAGCGTCACCCCGTCGCCTTCAACATGTGCCACGGCCTTGTGGGCTTACAAGAGTGGGAGCAGATCCTGAATTTGTAGCTCCTCCTTTTCTTTTGGCTGCAGCTTGAAATCCAAGGATAGTGCATATGATGCAATGGTCGAGGGATGTTTTAGCCAGAGTGATGTGACTAAAGTGACAATCGAACAGAGCAAAGGCTGTGGACACTGGACCGCAACGAGACAGATGACAACCGTGTCTCCTTGTTGCAGTTTGCCGACGAGAAGAGAGTGGTGAATCTCGCTTGTAATTACAAGCATCAGCTTTCAGAAGCTACTTGCAATCACTCAGGCATAGAATGAAGCGACATGACACTGGATTCCTTCGTTGTGGTTCCTTTGTTGCTGCTGTCATATCGCACAACTCACGTACAGAAGCTCCCAGCAAGCAAGGATTTTTCGCACGCACCGCACTGGCACCTGGTTACCGGAGCATGCTACTCAGCCCAACCAGGGCTGAAGGAAAAACATTGTTTTGTGTAGTCAGGTCATGAAGCCGGTGTTGTCATTGCCCATCATCTTGCACACAGGTGAGGGAGCTTCTCGTGCATCCCTTGGTATGCAAGATTTGTGACGGGTACTCCATGAAGCACAAGCGGAAGCTGCAAAGTACCTTTGGACTTGAGATGAAAAACAATGTGAGCATATATGCCATGGCCGATGAGCGTTTGGGTTTGAAGTGCCACAACGTCGAAACGATCGCAAAAGAGCTGGGACTAGCATCAAGAGGGATTCAGCTACAGGAGGATTTGCTTGCCTGTGACTGGAACGCACGAGAACTCACAGCAGAGCAGAAGAGAGGAGCAGTCGATTTCCCCTTTCTGATTTACAATCTCTGGCAGAAGCTTAGCATGATCAGCGCGCCTGATCGTGCGGAGAGCAACACGGGCATCTTTTTCATTGAGCCAGGCTGGGAAAGTCAAGGCCGCTTGGCTTCATGACAGGTCTGGACTCTGGACTTTCTCATCAGTGCATACAAGCCTTCACTGAGGCATTGTACGGAGACATGACGGCCTTTACTGCGAGCTTTGCAAAGCTGGACCCATCCTGTCCACTGAGCAGATGCAGGGTCACATCATTGGCAGGAGGCACCAGAGGAAAGCAAGACCACCAGAAACTCGGCCTAAGAAGTGCTGGTTTTCACAGGTTAGGCCACACTGCCACGGGAACAGTAATTATTGAACTTGCGTGGCAGCTTGAGAGGGGATGTGTAGCAGGTCTTTGATGGCGCAGGTCTCAGGTTAAGCTTCTGAGATTAGCGGGCGCTCAGGAAACCCTTGAGGAGATGCTCATACTGCCCGTGAACTTCCAAAATCAGGGCATAGTGACTCATGACTTCTGCTCATCTGCAGCTGGGCGAGTGGGTGCACGCGAGTACTTCTGCAAGCCTTGTGGCTGCGGACCGTTTCATGACAAACAGAGCGTCGAAACCCATATCTCAGGCCGCAGGCATGCGGAAGCCGCGAAGAAGTGGGGGTGCCCTCCAGTGGAGCCTGTGAAACCTGAAGCCACTGATCCAAGCGATGCACTTGCACCAGGCCCTGTGCTTCGTGCCACTCCTGAAGCTTCTGAAGCTCCCGAAGCACCAGCCCATGCTTCGGAGATGTTGAGACATGAGATGGCCTTGGCTGGTCTGTGCGGACTGACGGCTCCTGACTCCGACATATCCGACTATGAGGGCCCCTCAGCTGCTGAGATTCTGAGGGAAGAAATGGCAAAAGCCAAGTTGTGCTCGTCCATATCTCCCAGCCCTGCCAGCCCTCCACCTGCCACCGACGCGGACGAAGACAGCCCCAGCCATGGCGCCGTTGAAGTCTTGCGTAGCATCCTGGAGGAGAGCGGTTCGCAAGGGCCGTGCAAGGGTATTTGTGGCTGCGTTACGCTTTTGTGAGCAGCAGCTCTATCGAAGATGGTCTGACTTTACCGAATACTGAATTAACATTAGAGTTGAATGAGACACTCGAAGCTTGTAACAATCGGTTCCGGAAATCCTGAACCCTGAAGGAGCTGCGGCAACCGAAGTTGGCAAAAGCAAGATTGTGCACGCAAAGCTGTCAGACATGGATCTCACCGTGAAAACTCACAGGGCCTTCACAACAACTGTCTGACGTTGGCCAAAATCTGCAACGGCCAAGAACAAGCTCTCTGAGCCGAGCATTTTGCAATGGCCACGCGCAAACCTCAGCCGAGCAGGCTACAGAGGTCAGCCGTGGGTCCAATTCGACGAGCGCTTGCAGGCTCCCAGCAGCTTGAGTGACATCATCTGACAAGGCTGACCCAGCCAAAGAGACAACAGGGGCTAAACCCTAAACCTAATTGTTTGGATGGCTGTCAACTGAGTCGCATCTCACACTTCGATTCTCTGCGACTTAGTCGTGGGCATCACATCTCACGCTTCGGTTCCCAGCGCCTTAGTCGTGGGCGTCATCATCTCCGTGCGGGAAAGGCTGTAAGCTGTGTCAGGACTATTATTATGGACCCACAGCGACGGCCAAGCGTCAGAAGGGGGACGAGCAGGCTACAGAGGTCAGCCATGGGTCCACTTCAATTCGACGAGCGCTCGATGCAGGCTCCCGCCAAAGACACAACTACAGTGGCGCGAGCCTTGTCACAGCGACGGCCAAGCATCAGAAGGGGGCCAAGCAGGGGGCCGAGCAGGCCACAGATGTCCTCCCCGGGTGCACGGAGCAGCTAGTTCCTTGCGATTCGACGAGGTCGAGCAGAATACAGAGGTCAGCAATTCACTCAGCAATGCATATTCGATTCGATGAGCCCGCGATCGCATTCTCGCGCTTCAATTCGGAGCGCCTAACTCACCGTATCTCCACTTGAGAAAGACGAACGCCCGTCTGCCCAGATGTCGGTGAGGAGATCCTGGACTCAGAGCGGCTAGCCGAAGGGGAAACCGTAGCCCACTCCATCCACGTGCCGTCTTGGCCAACAATCGCAGGCTACCTAAGCCGAGCAAACCTGGGCAGTGTTCTGTCAGCACGACGTCATGCTGAGCGCAGTCGCGAACAATGTGAACAATGTGAGATTATTTGCGCCGCCTTGGCTCACGAAGAAATAGCTCGTGGCTCTTGGAGGTCGTCTCTCTGATCACTGCTGACAGATGCCCACCAGCCGTGTGACCGAATCATGTAGGAGTGCGCTCCTTCGTTCAGGTGTCATGCTAAATTATTCAGACCGGCTTGTGCCTTGTGGCCAACAATTGTGGAGGCCAACAATTGTGGACCCTTAAAAAGCTGCATGAGATGCTCCAGTAGCTTGCTCTAGCCCTTCCTTCATCTTCGTGCAACTGGCACTTTTGACAAGCTCGCTCAGGATGTAGCGCTGGCGCAACTGCTAGCACAAGCAGCAGATGAGCCCCAAGAAGGCCTTGAGTCATGGGTTGGGCTCTGAAGTCTGCACCGCGCAAGTTCGACAGCCAGGTCATGTGAAAGTGAATTGACAGCTTTGTTACGCTTTGATATTTCTGAAACATATGCTGAATCAAACATGGCAGAAGGCCCCGAGCATCACAGAGCATCCTCCATGAACCATTTGCCATCTGCAGCGTTTGACAGTGACATTGCCACGAGTTAGGTCTGAAGTTGCAGGCACAACCCACAATCTTGAGATAAGTGGTCCAGCAAAAAGCGATGACCCCATATAGCCCAGCTGCAGGCAAGATGCTAGTAGTTGAGCAGAAGAGGGAGATGTGTGCCCAGTTTCTCGAGGCCGGATGCACGGGATCCTCCAAAATACAAGCAAGAACTCGAGAACTGGCGTAAGCATCCTCTTTAACATGAAGGAGAAGCTGTCAGCTTTCTTGAAGACACAGGTGGGAAGCTGCATACTGGATCAGAGATGTCCGCCGCAGTCCAAGATTGTCTCGCCCGCCAGGCTGTATACATGGATGAGGAAGATGATGAATAGTAGTGGCCACGCTGTTTGCAATCTGCGAACTCAGGTTTGCTCACTGCCCCAGCGAACTCTTTGGTCATGGTGTTTCTCGGAGCAAGGCCCTCAAGCAACCTTCATGAGAGCAGCTTGATGTGAAGTCGCTCTCCAGCTTTGACGTATGTGACCCTTGAGCTTATTTGAATTGCTGCGCATTCGAGAGCTTGAAGTGCTTGATGCGGCTGAGGTCCCGAAAGGAAGCAGGCAGACTATGCAGGGCACCGAGATGAAATCTAGCTAGCGTCTTTGCTTGCACTGCAGGAGTAAGCTGATCTACTGAACGCATCTGCTTGAATAGGTCTAATCTAAAGCATGTATCCCCTGTCCGCTCATGCGCTTCGGAAGGCGCAGCGCCTTGTAGAGGAGTACAGTCACATGGCGAAGCAGGAAGAGCAAGCAAGTTGCGCATCAGGCCTGCCTAAGCAGCACAGGGGGACTGATAGGACAAGATCGCTATTGTGGTGATGAATGTGGTGAGGCTGCAGCTACACAAGTATTTGTGCTTCTTTGTTACCCTGGCTGTGCAGCCTACGACCACTCCGTGGCCGCAGCAGATGACGCAACCTTGAGGAGGCTGCTTCTGGCAGGGCCCTGAGCCATGCATACGGGTTGTCATGAAGCATTTTGTGTTGCTTGAAATGACGGACCCGATCCTGAAGCTCTGCTGCCATGAAATGTAGTCATTCAAGTTGAACGAGGGGCAGGACGACAGGGTAGCGCCTCGCCCTTCAGATGTGTAACAAGACTAAGAGAGCTGATCCACCTTTAGCAATAGAGGTTTGAAACGCAGAGCAGATGCCCGCTTCTGCCCCGGGCTGTCCCACTGGGGGAGGCCTTGCGAAACATGCTGTTTTCCAGCTCGGTATTGCTGAAACGATGTTGTGCTTCAGTCGCTAAGTCCACTTGCCCAGGCCAATGACTCCCCACCTCTGGCCAAAAGGTGGCCTGGCTCTAAGCAAGCGATGCTGCGTGCTGTCTTCGCTGTTCAGCAGAAAGTTACAATCACCCGCAATCCTAGCAATTAAGCACTCGATATACTCGGCTGTCATTTACTCCACACGTCCGCTGAGCTTGTCTGTTTCATTCTGTTCCACTGTCACAGATGAGGTAAACGGGAGGTGAGGTGTAGCATTGCCGCAATCTGTGAACACCAGAGGACTCAGCATCCGTGCCGATGCTTCTTGAATTCAGACGTAGGTGCCCAATTCATGCAGAAGACTGCATAATTCAACCTTTCCACTGTACAGACGGAGTTGCCTGCAAAACATTGCCACACGCTGCTGAGCCGGGTGCCGTACATCAATGGGTGCATTTATCTAAAGGGCCCCTTCGCAATCCTGTTCGCAGCAGAAGGATGCAACGCTCCTCAATGCCCTGCCTCGCAAGATGCAACTTGTCAGAGGCCAGAGGGTTACACCATGCGAGCACCCTTGCGAGATGTTGAGCAAATTGGGTGAGAGATCCCAACATTGATGCAGCTGTTATCATCAAGCCTCAGCCCAGAGCCCAAGCTGCAAGACGCAGCGGGCGCAAGCTGAGGAGCTGATGGAAGGCGTCGGATCACCATGAGCCAGATGCTGCATGCATGCCTTCCGAGAGGTATTCTCACTTACACACAGCCATTGCAGCAAACCGAGCATCCCGCTGCATCGAGAGACTGCAGCAAGAAGGGAGATCTTATAGTTTGTATGGTCCGAGTCCGAGCTGTGCGCTGTGCAGGCGAGGATGCTTCTGGTTCTCCAGGCAATGCCTCCACGAATTCGCCAGACTGTTGTCAGCTGATGGCGCGCATTACGCAGCAGGTACTGCAGGAGATGCCTACCTCCTCCCACCAGTTTGTAGAGCATGGGGCAGCAAGATGCAGCAAGAAACCCCAGGAGCATCTCCTGGAAGACAAAGACTCTGCCTGCGACATTGTCTCTGAGGATGATCATGATGGTGTGTTTTGCAAATCCGTTGCTTATTTCACCGCCCGGTCCCCCGGGCCGGCATGGCTACACGGTTTCTGCTAGGTAAGGCTGTTGCATCCCCTGCAGTCCCTGAGGAGGGAATGGAGCTTGGACGCTTCACATCAAGGCTTCGAAGGTGCCAGCACAAACGAAAAGCTGAAGAGATCTTCTTCAGAGTGGCAATGCAGGCCACAGCCGCCTGCTGTCCCTGTCACCAAGCGGCCTGCACGATTGCTGGGAACCGTGCGCGACCCTCCAAATTCGGTGACTGCCAGCAGTGACCTGGCGTGAGAAGGATGTCGCTTAAGACTTGTGCAAGCACGAGCATCAGCAAAAGCCCAGTTGATGGCAGGCATTGCTTTAAAGGTTTTGCCATTTCTGGCTTTGCTGCCAGCTCGGGGAAGCTAAGGCTCCGAGGAGATGCCGGCATTGCAGCATTTGGAGCGGTTGGAACAGGCCGCATGTGCTGGTAAATCTGTCCTCTGGAGCATAGGTGGCTGGTTATCGCATCAGCTGCATGAGTGCTGCATGATTTCAGCGCGAGTATTTTCTACAGCAAATTGCCTTGTGGCAGAGGCCGTCCTCACTGGCTCAGCATTACCACCGCTGCCAATGTGGAATCAAGGCTAGCGGGCAGTTGATGTACCCTTTTCAACTTTACACCCTTGCAGGTGTATGGTTGTAGCAGAGATTGCAGCCTGCTAGATGCTGCTGTTTCGCTGCGTGAGAAGCAAGTGCGGGCCTAGGAGCCGATGCGTCACTTGCTCGGAGCCCTCCAGCCAGAGTATCCAGATGCCCGGCAGCTCGCCACAAGCAGTGGCTATTACCGCTAGATTGTGGCAAGCAAGCATGGAGTGGATGGCCTTAAGCAGTATTATGTTTGGCGTGTGAAATATCAAAAAGATTCAAAAACAGGTGCCGGCTTCTCCGCGGACAAACCCTTTCTCGCCCAGATTGCAACTTGGAGCTAGGTTGAGATGTCCAAGTTGCGGATTGTAAGTTTTGCATGTTCGCCCGAGTTTGTGCTGGAACTGCTGCAAACGACACGGACTGCAGTGACAGCAACAGCGGCTTTTTGCATGGCTTTCTGTGACCGGTTGGTTACCCAAGGCTGGTGAGCGAGGGAGCCTGGGGCCTTCAGCCACCTTTGGCATGGACGCTGTTCCGAAAGAGTTGTTGTAGTGGACATGCATACAGGGAAACACGCCCAGAGGAGGGGCATGCGACAGCAAGTGCATTGAACTCTTCGGAGAAATGGGAATTTCTGAGGGAGGGCAAGTCAGCATAACAAGGTTTGACAAACATCCTTGACATCCTCACTCCTGATAGAACAAGACGGCAGGGGCGTGTTTCTGACGTCCTGAACCAGCAACAGGTGAGCAAGCCTTGCAGTGAGCAATGGGACCTCTATGACGTCTGAAGGAATGACGTGCATCTCGAAAAATCAACAAATTCCAAGGCAACCCGTCGATTCCCCGGCTGAGGCGTGGACGCGCCCCTGCCGGCCAGGCGGCACCACTCGGTTTCCGCACCTCGAATCTCCGTGGCTCCGGTCTTGCACGGAGAGGGGCTGGTGCCGCAGCCACGGCGTTGTGGATCTCCACGGAGGCACAGCGGCTCAGAGAAGAGGCGCAGCTGCCAAAGCCCATTGGCGTCAGCAGCGCTGCTGCTTTTCTGCTCAACCGTGGGCTGCTTGTCTGCAAACGGAGGGTGGCCATACATTCTGGGCAAGCTTGGCTTCAGCTTATGACATGAGGCCTGAGTTCCTGGAGCCGCTCAGCAAGCCGTTGTGTGACTTCAAGGTGTGAAGCACCCCCCTCAAACGAGGGGATGGTGACCGATACCGCAGAAAAGTTGCCTGTTGCAGGGTTCCACACGGCCAGCAGCGCAAGACAGCTCGTGAAAGCATCATGCTTCGCAGGTCTGAGAGTCCCAATCAGGATTTCAAGTTTCGCTGCCATAACCCTTCACAGAGCGTCCATGGATCCATCTAGGGTAGAGAGCGTCGCGGTGTCATGGAGCAGTAGATGCAGAAGGGCCAGCACGAAAGTGCTGGGCTTGGATGCTCATGGGACAAGTGGAGCCATAGGCATTGAAGTTGGAGGCCTCAACAAAACCCGGATTATGTATCATGGCATGTGTCTGCTATGGTAAGATGCTATGATGCGTGGTCACAGTCTTCAGGGGGCACTGCTCACCTGCGCAAGCTGTGGTTCACAGCCAGCCTGCTGTCATCCCTCCAGTGCTGCAACGGCAGTGTTGTCTGCTGGCCATATAGTGCTTGCCGATTAGTGAATGAAACCTGCGGATTCGATAAAAAGCTTGGTGTACAAAACTCCCGGGATCATGTGGACCTCTTGATACAGCATGCGCATGAAATTACTGGAAACCTCACCACGCTACACATTGGCACGAATCAGCTATTGGATGAGGAGCTGCAATGGTATCAGCAACTTCAGAGACGCATCCGCGAAGAGACGGCAGGTGCGAAGGCGTTGAGCCTGGTGTTTGTCGAGCCGCAGCCGGCGGCAATGCATCGCCTGAGGGAGAGGGCGCGGCAGATTGAAGAGGAAGGCGCTGAGATCACATTCATCGAGGCCGCGCTGTGCCATGAGAATGCCCAGGATCAGGTCTTCTACATCCTTACTGACAGGCTCTACGAGGATTTCCCTAACTACACAATCCCCAGGGACAGGATCGGTTTTCTCAGCTCGTTCTCCAAGAATCGCATTACAGAAATGGTTTTGCAATATGCCAGTGAGCAAGACTTTCTTTCAAGGCCCGAGCTCTTGGACTACTATGTTGACAAGGTTTCAGTAAGGTGTTGGGATGCTTTGGAGCTGCTGAGGCAGGCTGCGCTCCCCCCTACGGAGATCCATATGCTCGTCACAGACTTGGAAGGCTATGACACACAGTTCCTGCCTTTCTTCTTTGCAATGGACGGCTTTCTCCCGCTTTCCTTAACCTTCGAACACTATGGCCAGCTATTGCCAGGCGTAGTGACACAATGGACCATCAAGGAGCTGGCTCACAGAGGCTATATCGTATACTGCCACAGACAGGACATCATTGCAATTCGACTTGGACCGGACAGTTTCGACGCCACGCATCGAATCCACAGCTTGTACAGATCTGCCCGCGCACGGGTCGCCTCCCTCCCTACCTTTGAAGAACAGCGGCAACGTTTTAGAGAACGCGGGCCGAAGTCAGTCGAGACGTTTGCCTGGCGTTTTATTTCGCCTTGTTTGCCAATCGTGTTGGCAACCCATCGGTTTGGTGACATCGGAGAGGATTGCCCTTCAACATCCCAGCTTCCCAAAATTGGAGGTGGAGGAGGACCGCTGCAGCTTCCTGCTGGAAGTGTCCTGGCAGTGGGAGCTCAGAGCTTGCAGGCTTTGGTCAATTTCAGCCCGTGGCTCCGGTCCAAGCTGGTGTTAGTCGTGGGAAGACCGAGCTCTCCATCAACATTGCCAAGCTTGCGAAAGCAAATCCGCGATTTGCTGAAGAGTCGGTTTGTTCTCCACGTTTTCATGCAGGGTCCTGAGTTGTCACATCCAGACTACGAGGCTCTGCCTCTGGGCTTGGACCCTCACCTGCAGCTGGACCGTACAGAAGCCCGCAAGCAAAGCAACCTGCTCCGCATCAAGATTGGTGAAGGTCCTTGGAAGAGAAGCCTCGGAGACAATAAATCGGCTGCCATCGCTCCTCAGGACATCTCAAGGCAAACCGTTTGATTACTGTAGGAACCTATGTACGAGTGTGTGCGCAGCACATGGCAGGGGTGAAGCACAAATAGCAACCAACAGCAGCTCAAGCCCACAGCACCAGCTGCTGAATGATGACTGTAGGGCGCTGAGTTCTCGTCCTCTGCCAAGGCTAATGCGCGCTACGTCATGCGAGAAGGCGAGACTGGTGATCTGACTGAGTCATGCTGCTGGGAGGCCCTAGCCTTTGGAACAATCACGATTTCCAAATATGCCAAAGAGCTTTACGCGCCGATCTTTTGCAAAGGCAGCCCGGCAATGTATACAGAGTATCGACTAGCATATCGGGTTGTGCCTGCATTGTCACAAGGCGGGAATGTCATTAATGCCGAGGTGCGGTGCTGGTGCATGATGACGAAGATCTCCGGCAGCTCTCGCTTTCCCTTCCAAGTCAGGGCGCAGCATTGTACAAGAAACCGTCGCGGGATCAGTTGCTGGTAGCGTTTTGGAAGCTGCGGGTGTCTCTGGCCATGAAGAAAATCAAAGGCGTTGCTTTGCCTACGGTTTGCGAGCTGCTGCGGGGCTAGACTCTGCTGCCGGCATCGTCTGCATCAACTTGAACAAGGCCAGGGTGTCTAAGGAGATCAGACAGCTGGCTGTACGTAAAAATCACAGAAACATGTTTTGGAAGTTCTAGGGCTGATGGATTCCGTCGAATCCAGCCCGCATCAAAGAAACGCCAACAATCCGATGGGATACCTACATACAACTTCATCGTGAATATCTCGTGACGGGTTTTGTACCGGATCTTTTCTTGAGTCAACGCCCATCATCTCAGCTTGGTGCACGGGACCCACATGGCTCTGCTTGCAGCTTGTGGGCGACGCCAGCTTTGCGTCATTCCGGCAAAACTCCACTGAGCGGACGGAAGCCCAGAAAGCAATAGGCTACCGAGTGAATTGGGGATATATCCGCCAAGCGGTCTGAAAAAGAAGGATCGTCGGTCTAGTATTCGAGCAATCTTTCGATCAGCTAGTCTATCGGGGAGGAGCGACGGTGCGTCTCTCTATCTACATATTCGCCCGGCAATTTCTTAATCTCTAGAACTTTTGAATTTGCCAGTGCCTCCATCTGCCGATTTGATCGTATACCACTTTATTGATTTGATGATTTGTCTGTCGATTTAGGAATCTAAAAATTCTTGATTTATCTTCATTAAATCATAATTTATCGATTTATTACCTCTGATTTTGATTAATTTTGGCGAAAATCCGTTCTGTACTATCTATCGTAGAATCAGTTTGATAGATATTGATTGATAATAATAAAATGAAAATATATTAACAACTCTTCTGCACTGAGAATTGCTAGATTTGTTACATTGGAAGAAGTTCTCATACATAATTTCTTAAGAAAATTTAGCCATGAAACTCTAAATGATCTTATTAGAAAAATACATATGATTGCGCAATAATGCAGCTATACCTAGTATTGATCTTTGAATCTTTCACGAATTTTTTGCCCTCAATATTTTTGTATGATGTGTCACCGTGCTTGAAATTTCTATGTATATTTTTTTTTCTAGATATCTCCTTATAGATCTGAGCTAGAAATCCGAAAATGAATAGAGTCTATAGTTTTGTTTTGTTTTTCAAATTATTTTTTTTGATTTTTTTTTTTTTTCCATTATATATTCTCCTCAATCTAATATCTTAATCCTTCATCGAATTTCATACGCGATTTTAAGTGCTAATCATTCATCAGATTTCTCGCTAAAATTTCTTCAAAGAAATATTTGCCGCCGAGCGATTGAGAAGCTTCTTTCCAATATTATCAAAGATGATAAATCGATAAGTTATGACTGAAAGGCGTAAATGGCCCGGATAGGTATTTGGCCAATTGGATTTCTATGAAAAGCTCGGCTTTGCGCACGCAGGGCGAGAGCATCGTTGAGTTTCTATCTTAGCTTATAAATTTGCGGAATGGATTTAGGTTCATTTACTAAATATATAATTATTTAGGCCTCCTAATCATATAGGACCTCTATCAGCACTTCCAAATATTCAATAAATCTATCAAATATAGGATATATAAATAGGATTTGGATAAGATTTGGTGCGCATTTCGGGCGAAAGCGTTAATTTTAGGAGAAAGAATATTGGTTAGCCTCTATATATTCTATTAAGCCGCTATATATAAGAACTTTAAAGAAAAAAATGATAATTGAAAATTTTTTGGGTTGGGAGCTTCCGTATATAGTTCGGCATTTCTAATTTTATTTAGCTTTCGGATTATTTGCGCGACGGTTTTAATGAGCGTCTAAAATTATATAGATTCGCACGATTAATCTATGAATCGTGAAAATCTTTGTCTGCCGAATAGGATTAAATTATGCGGAAGATAGCTCTGGAAGATAAGATTCGTAAATAAATATCTATTTGAGAATATTCATAATGAGAAATCTGATGAATAATTAAGATATATGATCGTATCTGAAATCTGATAAAAAATGAAATTATAAGATTGCGCATGATAAAAATGAATAATCTATAGATTCTGAAAGATTTTGGATTTCTATTCCGGATTTGATCTTCATATTCTAGTGAATAGCCGTATAGATAGCCAAAGAGAAATGAATTATGAGGAAAACCGCTCCGGAAGCAAAGGTCGCCGCCCGCACTAAAAATCTCGAATATATTAGTGCTTCTAGTTTTAGGAAGAATTCAAAATTTCCGAGATTTTTGAAATCTTTAGAGTGCCCGTAGGAGGCATTTTAAGGGCGAGCCGGCAAAGCTAGGCCGCGCGCGAGCGAAATGCCCGCAACGGCCGCGCCGTATTATCAAGATATAATTGGTTTTAGGGTCCGGCGTGGTCGGGAGAAAGGCTGGAGAAAATCTAATGAAACGAATGATCTTATCTTTTAAATGAATATTCTATAAAATATTATAGATTTCCTCTATCTTCCGTGGACGTAATATTTCTTAGATCGAACTTCAAAAATATTTCTGATTTTTTTGAAGCTCGGCCCCTACCAAATATGATAAGCTTATTAAATTGCCCTCTCTTCACGGAAGGTCTAGACTATTTTCTGTAATATCTCGGATATTTTGGAGACCGTTCTTCCAAAATATTCTAAATATTTCGCAGATTACGACGTTCTAAATATCCGGGATATTTTGGAAAAATAATCCGGGACCGTTTTCCTAATTTTTTCGGATAATTTGGAAGATCGGTCTCGACTAAATATGAAATCATGATATTTTTCAAAAATTTGCGTTTCTAAATAATCTCGGATAAATTTCGGCATCCAAAAAATCGGTCCTAATCAAGTCAGAAGCTGCCAAGGCTTCCGTATAAGCAATCTGCTAGCTAGGCTCGAATCCGCGAAATGGCGGCGGGGGAGGTGGGCGGTAGGCTAGCTAGGCTCGAATCCGCGGTTGGTGGCGGCGGGAAGTGGGCGGTAGGCGGCGGGTGAGGGAGGTGGTCTATGCGGCGGTAAGGCAGCGGGGTCCGTAGGGCGGGGTCGCGATTCTGCGGCATTAGGGTAACTATAATATCGTGATTTCGGATATATCTATATTATATCTATCGTTTCATATTATCGGCATAAAATATACTTATTTGGACTCTATTGTTCGTATCAATGATTCGGAGATACGATTTATGATGATGATTTATCCCTATGAGAAATATATATTCTCAAAATTAGTGATGATTTCTTTTATTTTCATTGTCTCGGATAGATTTTCTAAAATATATCATTTTTTCGGAGGGTTAATCTCTTTTAAATATAATAAGCTCATGAAAATCGGTTCTTCCGTGAAGCCTTTGGATTCATTTTTTCAAGAATATCCGGATAATGAGGAATTCGCTTTCCTAAAATATTTCAGATATTTCATAAATCACGATCTTCGAATATATGGGATTATCGGAAGCTAGGCATTCCAATCATCAGGATTCTCAAATTTATCATCGGAATCTTGAAAAAATTTGGAAATATAATTTCCAATCAGATTAGATGCGGCTCATACAGATATAAATATATTATAATATATCATGATTTGGCATAGTATATTAGAATGGATTGAGAACTTATCTCTCCAAATGAAATATTTCATCATATATGGGACGTAATATTTCATCATATATATAATTAGATTCTGGGATTTCTTCTTATAATCTGGCTCTCAGCTTATAGAAATATCCTTCTGGTCGTCATAATCTGAACTATTATAATCTCATCTCTTCTGATGCCTCCAGGCGGAACGCAACCAAATATCGTGGGATTCGAGCTTCAATTCTAAATTGAGCGCTGCAGAATCTCAATTTGTGCGTTGCGCGTGGAAAGCTGCAGGACCGATTGGCGGGAGGATATTATCTAGGCGTTATGATACGATTGCCAGATTGCTGATATCGGGGATTATTGCCAGGGCGTTACTGCCAGGGGCCAGAGTGTTATTACCGCATGGAGGCCAAAATCAAGGTATTATCAGGATGCTAGTGCCGGGGTATTCTTGGGATATTATTGCCAGGGTGTTATGGAGTGAGCTATCAGAAATAGCGGAAAGAGCAGAGTCCCAGGGTCTTGTGCAAGTACGTTGAATTCTGTCAGCGGATTAAGGGCCGGGAGTTGTCAGGATGATGGGAATAAGGGATTGTTGAAGGATATTGGCGCTAGGGTAGTATCGTAAGGACGTTGGAGTTGTCGGTCCGAGAGCCAAGGACCTGCGTATTGGTCGTAAGGATGCTGGGAAGGAAATATTTATTGCCAAGGTATTGTAGGGAGGGGTGCAATTCCCAAGTGTTGTTGTTAGGAGGGTGCGCAAAGAATTGTCAGCGTGCGTATCCTGAAAAATTGGGGCATAAATCGAAGGGCGAATACGATGATAACTCTTTGAAGCCTCGGGAATTCCTTATTATATATCCAGATATATCCGTAGATGGAATCGGAGGGTCCTCTCTAATATTGAATAAATGGATTTTATCTGAACTTATCATTTTGAGAAAAAAAAGGATGAATAAAGAATTATAAATTTGATTTCCTATGAGGCATTGAATATTCTGAAATTGAGATATGATTATATAAAATTATAGATCAGAATCATTTATGAAATTCTTCATTTCATTTTCATTCATATTACGATAATATAGAATATGTAAATGAATATTGAAGAAATCTTTCTTTAATGTCTCAATATTTCGGCGCAGTCATTTGCGGTTGTTTCGCTCGCGCGCGGCCTAGGCTTTCCGATTCATTTTTAAAATGCCTCCTGCAGACTCTTTAGGGGCTCTAAAATCTCGGAGATTTTAGAGCCTTTCGGAAAAGTTAGAGGCTCTAAAATATCCGAGATTTTCGGTGCGGGCGGCGCGACCAAAAATCTCGGAGATTTTTAGTCGCGCGGTCCTTGCTTCCAGAGCGAATTTCCGCGTGATTTATCTCTCTTTGGTTGTCTGCGCCGTTGCTCGGCGGAGCGCATTACGGAGATCCAAAATCTTTTAGAATTTATAGATTGTTCGTATCTGTCTATGGGAATTTATGCGCTCCCCCGAGCTGCCGCGCAGATAGCCCAAGAGAGATAAATGAGGC